GCAATGTGGTACCACCAAGTTCTTACTTCCGCAAAATATGAGTGTTACCTCCAGAATTCAACCTCTCTATAAATGCAACAAATTCAACAGCCGTGCTTTCCAAACCCACACCCTGTTACCTTTACCTGTCACATTGTTGCATTATAGAAATTTCCTTGATAATCTCTTGAAGGTCAGATTCCACAGGAACTTGTTTAATTGCAACCACTTGACCAGTTTCTTTATGAATAGCTTTAAAAACACTGCCATAGGACCTGCAACAGAGGGCAGAGGACAAAAATCAATTTGAAAAGCTGAAGTCAAAGCAAGCCAGGAGACAGGAAACAACCAAACACTAAAGGATAAAATCACCTATCACATCATCCCACAGTGTCCAAAACACACACACACACACACACACACACACACACACACACACACACACACGGTGTTAGTTACCCCTCAAAAAACTGTGTGACAGCTGAAGTACCACAAGGAAAGTCTTCATTAAAAAGACCTGTCACCATACTGATTTTTTGGGGGGCGGAGGGGGGGAGGTGATTGGGGTTAAGTGACTTGCCCAGAGTCACACAGCTAGTGAATATTAGGTGTCTGAGACCAGATTTGAACTCAGGTCCTCCTGACTCCAGGACCCACACTCTATCCACTGTGCCACCTTGCTGCCCACTGTGCTGATGTTTTAAAAAAGCCATAGGGTAGACTGTAGAGCTAGTCCCTTGAAAATAAATTACGTAAATGTAAAATTAAGAGGTGGCTCCTTCGGTCTTGTTCGTCCTCCCCTTCCCCCACCCCCAGTACTGGCAATCCACGTGCAATAATATTTAAAATGTCCCTCAAATTATAAAACTTTGTTATCCAAAATCTGGAAGTAAGAAGAACCTCAGAGGTGTGATCTAGCCCCACCCCCATCCAGGGGAGGAAGTCCCTCCACAACAACCCAATCAAGCAGTTCTCTAGCTTTGGTGCTTGAATATTTCTAGGTTCTCAGATCAAGCAAAATGTGAATGGAGCTTATCTAAGCCCTTGTAATGGCAGCATAATGAGGTAAAGATAGCAAAAGCAAACTCTTTTCAGTGCATATGCCCTCAAGAACTTAAGTGCTTAGACAATCTTGCTCATAAGTAGATTACATTTTCAATGAAAGTCAGAATGACAGAGGAGGAAATAACATGCAATTTCATTTTAAGGCCTTTTCTTCATACATGTTTAATAATGCCTTTGTGCAAAACAAACAAAAATTCCAACTAAATTCCAAGTTATTCTGTTGGCAATCAAAGCAGTCAAATGCAATAGGGGAAGGCAAGACAGATAATGACTACTTTAGTGAGAAAGTAACATGTATATCCTTGCAGAAAGAGCAACATATTTTTTCATTGTTCAAAGAATGTCTTTTCATGTTGACAATAAGAATCCTATGCTCTCAAAGCTGGTAGGGGCCTCAGAGGTCTTTCTTTACAATATCCCCCTATAAGTGATTATCCAGCCTCTGCACAAAGATCTCAGATGAGGGGAACTCACTCTCCCACAAGGCAGACTACAACATGACTGGACAACTTCATTTATGTGAAGTCAAAATCTGCCGCCTGGAACTGACATGTAATGGTATCAGTCCGTCCTTCCTTCCATGTGGCTCTCTTCCAATATTTCAAGTCCACAAACATGAAAAGAGCTCATTTCATTTTGAACAGTTGTGGATACCTCTATTTCAAAAACTTTTACAGAAGTAAATGATGTGGTATGGTAGAAAGACTGTTGGACTTGAGCTCAGGAGACCAGAGTCTAAATCACAGAAAGTACTTCATTTCCATGAGTGCCAGTTTCTTTACCTATAAAGTGTGGATAATTTCACATTACATACTTTACATGGTTGTTGCTAGGAAAGGCCATTGTAAATCTTAAAGTACCATAAAAATTTGAACTAATACTAGTAGAATTACAAATTATCATAATTAAGTTTGGCTCCAACCCCTTGTCTGCCTGCTACAGAAAGACAGACAGGTGAACAGTATTTTAAAAAAAAGAAGAGGGGGCAGCTAGGTGGCACAGTGGATAGAGCACTGGCTCTGGAGTCAGGAGGACCTGAGTTCAAATCTGGCCTCAGACACTGGATTCTTACTAGTTGTGTGACCCTGGGCAAGTCACTTAACCCCACTGCCTAGCAAAAACAAAACAAAACCAAAAAAACTTTTAAGGGGCAGCTAGGTGGCACAGTGGATAGATCACCGGCCCTGAAGTCAGGAAGACCTGAGTCCAAATCAAATCCAGCCTCAGACCAATACTTGACACTAGCTGTGTGACCCTGGGCAAGTCATTTAACCTCAATTATCTTAAAACAAAAAAGAAGAAGAAAGCTACTTCAGTCTTGAGAAATTCTGCCAGCTCACATCATCAATTCAATAAAATTATTTGCAAAAGGGAGGGAACAGACAAACATATATTATCTTAGCTTTTAAGTAATTAGCTTTAGCCTAGAAAGGTTGAGCATGACTAAATGTAATTGGCTAATAAAATTAGCTGAACTGGCAGGAGGTATGGAGGATGCAGGAGCAAACTCTTGGCTGTGAGAATAAGGCAATGATCCAGTAGCAGGACTTAAAAATGTAAAACCTTAAACATAGGAAAAGAAGGTGGTAGGTTCTGATTCTGACCTATTGAGTGATTTCCATTTAACCTGGTTTGGGTCTAGATTTCAGTTTAGGCCTATAAAAGATTTCCACATACCAAAAGGGCTGGAAGAGAATTTAGAGATCTTCCTTTCTAACACCCTTGTCTCAGAGCAGAAAACAAAGGTTAGGAGAGGTAAAATGCCATAGAACATACCAGAGGAACATACCCAGTTCCTCTGACTCCAAGTCCATAGACATAAATGTAAAGGGCTGAAATGTCCCCTAGAAGTCAATTATTCCAAACCCTTCATCTTAAGGAAGAGGCGAGCACAAGTCTGTGGTAAGTCCGTAATGCAACTGGGTCTAGAATTCAGTCTGCAGGCTCCCAGGTCAGAGCTCCTTCCACCATGTCACTCTTCTAGACCTTAACTTCCTCAAACAACAAAGTGCTATAATCTTCAAGATCTAACCCTCAAACTGGTATCTGCACATAATGAGATAGGAGTCAATGAGTTGGTTTATATACATATATACGTAGTCCATTCATTTTCTGAGAAAGTCACATATATGGGAATAGGACCAGTTTGGAGTGGAATTCCTAATCAAGTCTGTCTATAGCAATTTCCTAAATCTTGCTTGTCCAGACACAACTACCAATAATAGAAATCTCTGCATTAGTTGCAGTCTGACCAATGGAAGAGAACAGCAACCTTGTTCTTCATTTAAAGAGCAATCAGGCTATGGAAAGAACAGAAAGAGCTCAAGTTCTCTATTTTCTCCACGACAGCTTTTGCAGGAGGAAACTTCTAAGTATTCTGCCAGAAACATCTGAGGATCTAAACTAAAATAGAGGAAAATCTTCATTTTAATTCATTTCACAGACAATTCCTGGTACATTCTTCTTCCATTACCACTTTTTTATTTTTGAGAGAGATAAGTGGTACTTCCCAACCTATCTGTTGCCAGACCATCTAACAAGGCCTGATCAGTTTTCTTCCATGTTACAACCTCTTTGCTTTAAATACAATGGCACAAGTGATGACCACTGCTTGAGGATGCTTGAGTTTATCCCATTCAAAAGAAACAAGCACATTGCACTTTTCACGTGCCAGGCATTGTAATCGTGGCTACTTTTTTCAGTTACAAGGTACTTTCTCTAATTTATCTCATGTCCTTCATTATTGGTGCAGGTGTAGGTTTTGCAAAGATTAGTATCCTCCTCCTTACTTGGGCAGAAGTAGTTAGCTGAAGTATTATTATCCCCCTGACTACAGCCTATGAGGTAGCTTGTATAACCTCTATTTTATAGGACAAAACTGCGGCTCAGAGAAGTAAAAGGTTTTCTGACTCCAAATCCAGTGCCCCTTCTACTATACTCTGCTGTGTCCTCATTATATACATGCAGCCACTGTGTCAGGCCCAAACACTGAAGATATTTCCTCCCACAAGCACTACTTAATTATCGAATGTCTTGCTTGAGACTGTCATCTTGTAAAGGAAAGGATGTCAAGCTGAAGTTAGTAATGGTAACCAAGACCCTGGATACAAAGTTATCTTTTCATACTTCTGTCATTCCCAGACATGATAGTCTTCCAGCCATATTGGTCTTCCTTTTTAGTGATGTGACTGGGCACTGCCTTTTGTCTTCTTCTGCTTCATGTTTAAGAGTCAGTCATTCTTCAACTTCCCACAAGAGGCATCTTGGAGCTCCTTACAAGAATAAACAGAAGGAAACCCAGCACTCTCTCTACCATTACTGCAGATTGTGTCCATCACTTTCAACTAAGTCTGACACCCAAAGAATCATCTAATGAACATGTTTATGACAAAGGGCTGATTTTTAAAAATTAACTCACATTTCTGGCATTCAATGGTTTACAAAGCACTTTCCTCACAACGACCCTGTGAGGTAGGTTGTATCAAGATTATCTCCATTTTGCAAAGGAAGAGATAAGATAGATGAAGTGCCTGCCCACATTCCCACAGCTAATAAATGTGGGAACCAAGTCCTGAACACTAAGCCCATGAATTTCCATTTGTCATGCTGCTTCTTACCACACTTTAAAATCTAACCCACTGAGTCTTCTCACAAATCACAATGAACTTCAGGGGTTTATTGTTCTAGCTGTGATTACATTTTATACAGATACAAGAATAGGTCTGTGAGAGTATTAACCTAGAAGTAAACAAATGACCAAGGTGCCCTTTATTACATCTCAGGCTTATATTCCATGAGAACAGGAGGGTCCCTATCTAGAATGAAAGCTAACCTCATCAAAATGTATCACATGCTTTGGCAAATCCCTGCTTTAATCTATGCCACATGCTACATGATATGACATACTGGGTGGCGAACTTACCCTTCTCCAAGTTTCTCCAAGACATCAAACACTTCTTCTGGCTGCTTCGTCAAACTATCTTCATCCAGTTTTTTCAGCTGCCTGAAAGCAGAAATACAGTGTATGGTGAGTAGCTGTTTGGCTTCAACATGAATTGTGCTGTTTAATTAACAATGTTTAATAATACCTGGGCTTGCCTGTGGCTAAGGGAAGGTAAAAAAAAAAATGTGAAGTAAATATAGAGTCTCAAGCTTTCTGAAAGTGAAGGTTCTTCCCAAGGACTAGAGAAGAGATTGTTCCTATCTATAAGCATCCATTTGTGTTAGACAGGAGCTTTGTCAAAAAGGCCTAGGACAACAGATGCTAAGTTAATTATACACATTTATACAGCACTCTAAGGTTTACAAACTGTAAATGTAAACTTAAAAATGTAAACTCTAAGGTTTACATTTTCTTCACAACTTTGTGAGGTATGTATGGGGTAGAAAGATTACTATTCTCATTTTCTAGGTGAAGAAACTGAGGCTCAGTGAGAGAAAGAAACTTGCAAAGGTCATCTAACTAATAAGCACTGAAGTCAGGATTCAAACTCAGGTCTTCTGCTTCTAAGTCTAGCTCTCTTCACCCTACATCATGCTGCTATCTATATAAGCACGAAAGAGAGAAAAGTGTAGCCCTAAGTACTCACTAACCTCAATGGCCCAGCTCAAGTATCACCTCTTCCATGAAGTCTTCTCTGATATCTCCAGATAGAAATGATCCCTTCTTCCTCCAACCTTTTATAGCACTTTGTTTATAATAGTCTAGTCTGTATCATAGTTGTCCTCTTCTCTCATAGATTATAAGCTCTTTGTGGGTAAGGACATAATCAAACAGGAGAAGCTCTGGATTGGGAATCAGAAGATTTAATTTCTAGCCTCAGTTCAGGCACGAGTTCACCATGTCACCTTGGGAAAATCTCCCTTCTCTGTGCCTCAAGCTGTCCATCAATTAAATGAAAGGATTGTGCAAAGTGACCTCTAAAGCTCCTTTTCACTCCACATGGTCTACATTCGTCACTTTTATTCATCTTTGTCACTGGGTAGGGCCACGTATATAAGAGGAATTAAATAAATGTGTTTAAGTGAATTAACATATCATACACTTAGCTATCATTAGCAGGGAAAATATCTAGGCAGCACAGAGTTTAAGACCTGTTCAGAACAAATTCCCCAAATGTATACATATTTGAAAGTTTTCTGCTGGCTTGTTTCCTAATCGTAACTACTTCAGTATAAATATACTTGAATATAAATTATAAAAGTCAAAAAATGTCATAAGCCCATTAAAAGTTAAAAGTCCAAAGAATTCTATTTTTTTTTCTTGGTACCTTCATGCAAGAGAAAGGAGCATTTAAAAGGAGATTAAAATGGAGCAGATCGGGGAATATTTCTTTTCTGTACATTAGGTCTTCTACACAATGGCTTCCTGAAACTAATGAAGCGCACACAACAAAGAAAAGTAAGCTCCGGAAGTGGTGAAATATGGAAGTAGTTACAATGAAGATTTTTTTCTTTAAAAGAAAAGGTTTAAACTAGCTGAAAAGCAGCTACAAGTTCTGACAAGAAAATAAGAGAAAAAGAGAAAAACAAACATGAAAATTCCAAGAAAACTACACGGAAAAACCAGAAGAGGTGAGGAGGGTAGGGAGGGGGGAGCCTAAAAGTGTCAAATATATCTACTAGTAGTACTGGCCAGAAACATACAAGGATTTTTACTTACAGAAATGGTAAATGGTATTTTGTAAATGACAAATGTCATGGAATCCTGCTGTGGACCGTAGCAGATCAAAGGGACCTTAACACACAGAATATTAGAGCTAGAAAAGGCCTTAGAACAGGAGTTAACCTTTCTGTGTAACGGGCTCCTTCAGCAATCTGATGAAGCTTATAGATTCTTCAGAATGATATTTTTTCCATAAGCTTTCCAAGGAAATAAATTATATTAAAAAATTTACCAAAAATGAAAACAAGCAATAATAACAACAAACAAATTTCCCAACCCTAGGTTAATAAATCCTGCCTTAAAACACATAACATTGGACCTGGAAAGAGGCTTCAGAGAATAGAATTTTAATAGACAAGGAGTCTTAAAATTCAGAATGTTTACAATAAAAAGGACCTTGTAGAATCCAACTCTTTCATTTTTCAGATGACAAATGAAACCCAGAGAGGGGATTTGACTTGACTCTGGTAACATAGCTCACTAAAGGTGGGACTAGGACTGGAATTCATACCTTCTGACCCCTAGTCCCAGTTTTGTCTCTACCACTTCACACTGTCTTCCCGAAACAATTCCTAAACTAGAACTTTAACAAACAGAACAGAAATACCACAGTGACCTTTTAAAACCAAAAAAACCCTAAAAAATAATTTCCATTGACATCACAAAAACTTCCAAGCTTCAACAATGAAATGAAACTTCTCAGGAACTTGTATGGTAGTAATTTATGAAATGTGGAATTACAATGAAAACATCCTCATACTCCAAACAATTCTTATCTGCAATGATTAGAACTTTTTATTTTAAAGCTCTGTGCAAACAATGGACAATATTTCATAGATCAAGCATAATTAAAGTTGTATAAACAGCTTATACAAAAGAAGACAAAACAAATTCTCCTTTGAAAGTTTAACTAACTCTGTGGTTTACAAAAAAGCAAAATGCACTATTTCAACTGTGATAGATACCACCACATAACAAAGGAAGCTGACATTACAGTGGAAGAAACAGCTGCAGGTCTCCGATAATATTTTGACAGACAAATTTTATTTGATTGCTTAGATGCTCCTAAAACTCTAAGGCATTTCATATTGGGACTGTCTGAAAACAGTTTGTGCTGAAATGACAGACAACTGGTTATATGAAATGACAACTATGAAAAATTCAGAGAACCATAGGAAGACTTATAAGAACTGTTACAGAGTGAAACGTAGAGTACATATGTAGAGCAATACACACAAAGACTGCAACAACGCAAAAAGAAAGAACAGGAAAATGAAACTGAATCCCATGTAATTAGAAGGACCAAGACCAGCCCCACAGAAGAGTTGAGAAAATGCATCTGCTTCTCAGAGAAGGAGGAATATTGCATATACTGTCAGATAGAGGTGGTATGACAACCGGCTTTGCTGAACTGCTTTTGTTCATCTTTGTCACAAGAGGCAGTCTGGGAGGTAGGGACAGATTCTTAATTGATGGTAAAGAAGAAACAAAATATAACCATAATAATAAGATAAACACAATTATTTCTGAAGGATAAGCAATTATTGGTTTCATCTGTATTTCCCCCAAAATTTTCAGGCTGAAATTTTTATACCTGGGCATTACTAGATCATCAATAAAGATTTCAATCAAAAAAGGTTCTTAATAATTCAATTCAACACTGCTTCTCACCCACAAGTTATTTTTGGCAAAATGCTACAACTATACATGCCCCATGCATCTCTCCAAACTTCAACTTTGATTTTCCTGAGATAGTGGAGCTTGATGACTTGATTACATATAGCATCAGTGGAAGAATTTTAGCATTAAAGAGCAGCAGAGAGCAACTTAAGACACTAACAGGGAAGTATAAACCCTCAAATGATTCAATCTGATCTTTTCCTCCTACTCAATTCTAAGTTCATCTCACTATCCATTTATAATACCTATCCAAATTTATATGTAATGATCAAACTATCACAATGAACTTCACATTCCACTAAATGTTACCTGGGCAACATACATTTTTTTCAACCACTTTTGCTTACACATCTGCATAAGAAAAAAAAAAACAACCAAAACAATAAATGACTATGGATCTCATTGTAGTGTTCTGGAGCCCAATGTAATCAGAACAATGTCATGTATAAACATTAGTAGTATATAGACAACCTTCATACTGACAGGAAATCCCTCTTCTATTTGGGTTGTGTTTAGGTCAGCTTCTATGACACCCCGTGAACAATTTACAAGAACATGTATCTTACTTGTTTCTTGAGGTTGATACTTAATGGACCAATGAGATTATCTCCCTAGTAGTGACCGTCATAGACTCTTGCATGATTTTAACCTTTGTGTAACATTTTAGTATTTGTGTAGAAATTCCTTATTTGAGTAAAGATGTTAGGGATGTATTTTTCTACCAATTTTCTTTTTAAATGATAAACACAGTGGGATCTTCTGTACTTCTTAATTAACTGTATTACTATGAAGAAGTGCCCTGCTGTGGAAAGTTCTCACTCAAAGTCTACCTGTTCCCTTGTCATGTCTTCATAAAGGATATTCTTAAGGTACCCGTCAACAATCCTCAAAAGATTTTAGAAATGAGAAAAGAAGCAAAAATATGTTGACAATGACTGATGTCTTCTTAATCTTTTTTTTTTTGGTAAATGAATAATCTATTTCTTTTTCCATTCTTCTGGAAACAGATGGACAGATTACATGCTATATTGAAAAGCCTTAACCACATTGAACAGATCCTTCATGGAAAAATTACAGAGACAAGATAAGAATCACACAAGATGAGAAGGCATCAATTTACTCTCTGTATTGGTAAGAGACTAAAGATCCAAAATATCAAGAGAGTCATTAAATGTCTTTTTATAGTTCAAGTGACAGCCTGAAAAGTTTTACATGTGGCTTTTTGTATATACTGTCATATATATGTATACTGTCACCACCAAAACCAAGCTACCCATCCTTTAAACTAGCCTTTTCCAGGTCTCAGTGATAACTCAGTAGTTCTCTAACTCTACCTAAGTGCTCTTTGCCAACATGGACAAAGTATGGACACATGCCATCCAAAGAATCCTAAAGGTAGCATCAAGAGTAGACTGAGGACAAGCTCTGAATCTTACAGTCTACTGTCAATATCTGCAAAGAAACTACTTTTAAACAAGTGACTACTTTAAGGAAAGTAATGATGACCTTGCTTTGTCATTTTACAAATCACAACTTTAAGCAAAGTAAGAATGTTCTTATTTCATTATCTGTTACACACGTATGAGCATCTAACTCATGAGGGCAAACAGCATTTGCTTTACTACTGAGAGGGCATTATTATTTAAGATCTAAAATTTCAGAAGTGGAAGGATCCTTAGAACACAGACAGAGAAAGGTCCTTAGAAATGAAAGAATCATAGATTTAGAACTGCAGAGACCACTTTCCCTTCTGTCCATCTCTGCCCCCAGTGGGGTAGAGATTGAACTTTTAAAAGCCTATAAGCAGACAGCTAGGTGGCGCAAGTGGATAGAACTCTGGCCTTGGAATCAGGAGGACCTGAGTGCAAATTCCGCCTCAGACACTTGACACTTACTAGCTGTGTGAGCCTGGGCAAGTCACTTAACCCTGACTGCCTCAGCAAAAGCAAAAAAAACAGCCCATGAGGAGAATATAAAGAAAATGCTTGTTGGTCATTTCAAGCTCCAGATCTGAAGGATAATAACTGTCATTACCACATTCCTCTTAATATGGAGTGACCATGCCTACAGAGATCACCTAAATGTTTACTGATACACTTCTCACTTCCCCAATATTGAACAGGGAACCCAGAAAAGACATAACTAAGATGAACTCTTTACACAGGTTCCTCCTGCCATCCCTGATCTCATACACAGTCTCCCCCTTTTCACTCTTAATCACATATACAGCTCTACACCCCTCACTTATGGATCTGGACATAGCTTTCTCCCACTCACAAACACCCTTTCCCCCTCACTCATACACATGCACACACAAAACCCCCTTCCACTCACACATATGTACACATACACCCCTTCCCTCTCTGTCACATACACATACACACACAACCTCCCTCTCTCACTCACACATACACAAACACAGCCCCCCCTTTCATTCAAAAAGTCTCCCTCTTACACATATACACTCTCCCCACCCCTCTCACACACATGCATGCACACACTGGTCCCCCCCATTCACACAGAGCCTTACTTGTCTCTCACACACACTTGCACAAAGTCTTTCCCACTCTCTCACACATACACACATCTTTCCCCTTTCCATTCACACACATGCACCATCTCCCCTTCTCACACACGGCCCACAGAGCCCCTCTTCTCTCTCACACACGTCCTCCTCCTTCTTACACACATGTACACGTAGTCTACACACACACACACACACACACACCTCCTTACTCTCATCCACTTCCATGTACTTACACAGCCTCATCTCCTCTCACACACATGCACAAGTAGATCCTCCCCCCTCTCATTCACACATATACAAGTAGTCTCCCACTTAACACACACACACATCCCTCCCCCTCTCACTCACACACGTAGTTTCTCCCTCCCTCTCACACATCCTCCCCTCGCTTCTCTCACTCATGCTTACCCACACACACACACACACACACATCTTCCCCCCTCTCATTCACACACGTTTTCCCCTCGCTCCTCTCACAAGCGCTTACACACACACACTCTCTCTCTCCTCAGCACTACCCGTCTCCAGCCCGGGGCTGGGTCCCTCACCGGCGCGGTGGGTTCCTCAGCTGCACCGTCTCCATGGCGCGGCCGCCGGCAGCTCAGTTCTGCTACTGCCCCATCCCCAGCCGGTCCCCCCGACACTTCCGCTTTCCGCCCGGGCCGGAAGTGGGGCCTGGTGGGGCCGCCGAGGAGGGGAGGGGAGGAGGAGACTGAGAAGCTCCCAGTGGGCGGTACCTGAGTCACGTGACGCCTGCCTCCTCCGGGGCGGGGCGGGGCAGGGAGGATGAGTATGCGACTGCCCGAGAGGCCCCGCAAGGGGGCAGCAGGCGGGAGACTCTAATAGCGCCTGGCACGTCAACAGCCCGGGGCGTTTCAGCCTCAGTTTCAGTGATCAGCAGACTTCTAAGCCACCCAGTGGGGGAATAATAGGTAGAGCTGGTAGGACGATCACGTGGCAGCGACCCATATGCCCATATTGCAGAGGAGGAAGCTGAGGCCTAGAGAGGGAAAATAATTAGTGCAAGGTCACATTGCTAGTAAATGACAGAGCTGTGATTCGAACCCAGGCCTTCCTCCATCATTCTTAAACCAGTGCAATTTCTACTGCAACAGGACATATAGTACTAGAAGGAAGCTCACTGGCCATGTAGTTCAACCCCCTCATTTTACAGAGGAAAACTTAATAGCACAGCTAGTAAGTATCTGAGTCCCAAATTGAACCTGAGGTTAAGTCACACAGCTAGTGAATACCTGAGGTCAAATTTGAACCCAGGGCTTCCTGACTCCAGGCCTAGTGCTCCATCCACTGAACCACTTAGCTGCCTCTATTGAAAGTATTATCTATCCCCATTTTATAGGCGGGTAAACTGATGTTTAGAGATGCAAAGTGAGCTTCCCAAGGCCAATATGTAGTAAACAGGGGGCAGTTTCACTTCAAGTTCAGACATGTGACCACTTTCTCTTGGAATGTTGGATCTAAGAGAACAGTAATGTTTTCTTTAAGTTTATAAAAGCCTTAGGCTTTTATTTGATTTAACTTTTACCTAAATCTAGAGATCATCCTTGCTTCCAACTCTACTCTGCCACTAATGGGCTGAATTGATTCACCATATGGTTGTGGCGAATGATTTCCCTGTTCATAGCCTCAGTTTCCTCTGTTAAATGAGGGGGTTGGACTACATGACTTGTAATGTCCCATTTACTTCTATTATTCTAGTATTCCAGGATTCTTTTGGACTGATTCACTTTTTCAAACTATAACAGTTCCCCTCAGATCATTTTGGAATTGGGCAGGAACACAATAGAAATGACAATGACAATTACCCTGGTGTTGTTGTTTGCCCTTCATTCTCGAAGAGGAGCAATGACATCAGGAGGATGATGTCATGCATGACTTGCAAGTGAATTGGATTTAAGTGAGGCAGAGCTGTGCAAAGTCTTCAGCTTCACTCTCTCCTGCAGGGTCATCTGAGTCCACTGGCAAGACATAGGTCAGGATGACTGGAGATGACCCCAGAAGCAGTGGGAGACCATGGCCTTTTTAAGCTAAGGTCTTTCCCAGGTCTCAGTTTGTCTGAGGCAACACCCATTCAGTGATTTAAGGCTAGGTATTGTAGGTATTCTCAAAGAGGACCATGACATCAGGAAGGTGATGCCTTGACTTCAAATGAATTGGATTTAAGTGAAGGAGGACTGTGCAAAGTCACCAGCCTCACTTTCTCCTCTGGGGCTATCTGGGTCCAGTGGCAACGTATAGATCAGGATGACTGGAGATGGCCTTTGGCCTTTCTAAGCTAAAGTCTTTCCTAGTTCTCACTTTGACTTGATGCAATGCTCATTCAGTGATTTAGGCTAGTTAAGAAATGAGCCAAGGAATGGCCCCTTTTACCTAATTTAAAAAAAAAACACATCAATCTGGGACCCCCAGAGATTTTGGCCAAAACAGACATAATTACTATTTACATTCACTCAGAGCCATCAGGACCCAAAAAATAACCACTAAGTGGGGCTTGGGCTGACACCTATTGTTGGACAATCAAGGAGAGCCAGAGTGAATTGGATTTGAAGCCCATGGTCTCTAAGACAGGAATCTAGCCTGTAAACACCAAGATATCTTGTTAGGTTTCAGCCTTCAAAAGTTATATTTCTTTGGGCAGAGCACCTGTAGGTAATGGTATGACACCCTATGTGGACAAAGGGAGAGGAAGGAGGAAGGGGAAGAGAAGAGAGGGGAAGAGAAGAGAGGGGAAGAGAAGGAAAGGGGAAGGAAGGAAGGAAGTGTGTGGGACAGAGACCACCTACCCAAATTAAAAACCAGAGTCCTGACAAAAGTTTGCAAAAAGGAGGAATCTCTTTATTGACTTTCTCAAGAAAGGACACCCCCATGCTGCCTAAGCTGCCCCAAGAGTGCGGGTGCTCTTTGTTTAAGGCAAGATTATATAGACCTTAACTCAGCAGCCCACCCTAACCCCCTTCCCATTGGCTCATTGGCTGAGCCTCAGGTGCACAATCTATTCCCGTAAAAACTACCCCAGTAACAGAGAAAACAAAGAGGTATAGAAATTATGCTAGAATGTTCCCCTTTTCAGGGCCTCACAGTTTCAGTAGCCTTTTACCCAAGGTCATACAACTAGCTAGAGGATGAGATAGGATGCTCTTATGGCTCAGGAATTTCTGCTAACACTATCTAAGAGTAGGGGAAGGGGTCTTGTATTCTGAGGGGTCTTCACTTAGTGTTGGTACACATGTACCACTCAAAAGCAGCAATACCAGAACCATTAACAAGAACTAATGACCCTTTGAGGAGGCTTCACTTCTGAGAGAAGGAAGGAAGGAAAAAAGCTGCGTTGCCCAATTAGAACTGGCCAGTTAGGTCCCCAGTGGGGCAGCTGGGCCTACTCAGAATTGTTTGTCCTTCACTCTCAAAGAGGACCGTGACATGGGGAAGGTGATGCCATGACTTGTTTGTGAACTGGATTGAAGTGAGGGAAGGCTGTGCAAAGTCACCAGCTTTCTCCTTCCTAGCCAGCTGGATCCAGTGGCAAGATGTAGATCAGGATGACTGCGGATGGTCCCCAGCTAAGGCTAGGCAAAAAATGGCCCAGTTTACTTACTCAAAAAAAAAAAAGTCAAATTGGGAGGGGAAGACCCTCAGGGTTCCTGGCCAGAACAGAAACAATAGCAATCTACCCTCACTCAGAGTCATCCAAACCCAAAAGAAGACCAAGTAAGGCTGGGGCTGGGATGACTGGCCAATCAGTGAGAGCCAGAGTGATTTGGGCTAGAAGGCATAGTCAAGTAGCTCTATTTGAATCACAAATGGGCTTTATCTAAGCCTGGTTTTTCAGAGCTATATTTCAGGAAATCATATATGAAACTATACACAGAGGGTAATTAATAGCACACAGAGGCATATTTTAGGTGTAAATAAACTGCAACCTTGACAAATAATGAACTTTGCTAGTGCAACGGAGTACAGAAAACGGACATATCTTGAGGTGAGGTTGAGGGATAACAAATCGGACCCTTTGAGTGTTCCACCAGTAGGTACATATTGTTACGATGTCTGAGAAATGGAGGAAGGCCTGCCTCTCTTTCTTGAACTCCTAAAAGTGTGGACCTGAAATATAGTTGAATAGACTGAGTAGTCCTGTACAGTTTTGATCTGTATCACTTTGGGGAATCTCTAAAATGATAAGCTTAGTGATCCATTTGAATGAGTGCTGAATGAACAATAATAACTGATATTCACAAAGTGCTTTATTAAGGTTTCCAAAGTGGTTAGTTATATTATCTCATTTGAATACAGCACAGTGGCTAGAGCACTGGGCCTGGAATCAAGAAGACCTGAGTTCAAATTCAGCCTCAGACACTTCCCTAATTTTGTGACCCTGGGCAAGTCACTAAACCTCTATTTGCTTCAGTTTCCCCATCTATAAAATGGGGACAATAATAGCCCCTGCCTTCAGGGTTGCTGTAAGAATCAATTGAGATAATAATTGTAAAGGGTTTCCTCAGCACAGTGCCTGGCACATAGTGATTGCCATATACATGTTAGCTGTTATCATTAAAACAACCCAGGAAGTGGATCTCACAAGTATTTTTTACCCACTTTACAGATAAGGAAACCCTGAGCAGGGTCAAGCAAATCATCACATTAAGCTAGTAAATGCCAGGGATGGAATTTGAGCCCTGGTATCTCCTAACTCCCGGTACAGGACTTGTTGAATGAATAAATCATAGTGTATAGTTTAAGAGCTTGAAAGACCTAGATCTAGAGTTGGAAGTCCAATTTTCTCATTCTATAGATGAGGAAACTGAGGCTCAGAAGTGAAATGAGTGTCCCAAGGTCTTGCAGATAGTAATATAACAGTGTCAAGGTTCGAAGCAGTTCCTCAAACTCCAAATCCAGTTGTCCTTTCCCTATGGCACTGCTTCCATCCCCTCCATGAGGCTTTTCCTATACCCTCTCTGATCTTTAGACTCTGACAGCATTTTATTTATGCAGCCCAAGTGGTGTTTTATCACCTATTGCCTTTTATTCTACTTATGAGTTTACAAGCCCTATTTACCTCCTCTGGCCTGGAAGTTGGGTGAGTTCAGTGACCTCGTTCTCTCTACAAGACTTTTTTTTTTTCCCAGCACAGGGTTCTACACATAAATACAGGAAACATTTGCCGAATGATTGTCTTATTTGCATTTTTTTCTAGTACCATAGGAGGTATTTTTCTCCCAAAAATTTTATGTATCATCTTGCTTTAGAAAAGCAAACTGAGGCCCAGAGAGATGATGGGACTCGCCCTTGGGAAGTCGCTCCATCTCATGGCTAGCTACAAAGTGTGGGAGGCAAGAATTGGCTCCCTGGCTCTCCGACTTGAAGTTCAGGGCTGTTCATGAATGAATGAATGACTGACTGACTGACTGACTGAATGAATGAATGAGTGAGTGAATGAGTGAGTGAGTGAATAGACTAATGATCGGAAGTACAACCGGCTGGATTTTAGCCGTCAACAAGCGGATACTCCTGGACCTTGTCACCTTGCACCGCCCCACCCCGCAGGCGAGATTAAGGCCGGAACCCGACCACCAGGCACTGGCGCAGCGGGGTTCTCCCAAGGCTGCCCTCCCCCCTCCGCTCCCCTCCCCCACCGGGCCGAGAACGCGCAGACTCTGTGGTTCCCCGGCCGCGGGGCTGCCTGGCCGCGGTTACGCGCGGACCTCACTGTAAGGTGGCGGCCCCCGCCAGCCCCCGCCAACCCCCTTTGTGCACGCTCCCCCCCGCCTCGCGCGCGCGCCCCCCTCTCGCGCCCATCGGAGGTTCTAGGCGCCGGCGCCGCTTCCGGCCCGGAGGTGGGGGGGGGAGGGGGCGGAGCCGGCGCCGGCGCCACAGCAACCGCGGAACGCGAACCCTGGCCTGCAGCCTCTGGCCGGCACCGGTCCAGGGATGGCGCCCCAGCCCCCCGGCTCCGTCCTCGAGCTCCGCGCCGCCGGCAACGAGAGCTTCCGCAGCGGCCAGTACGCGGAGGCCGCCGAGCTCTACGGCCGGGCCCTCGACGTGCTGCGGCAAACAGGTACGAGCGGCCCCGAGGACCCCCAGAGACCCCCCAGGACCCTAGAGACCCCCCAGGAACCTAGAAGCATCCCCAGGGTTAAGTAGACACCCCTGGGACCCCAGAGACACCCTCAGGACCCTAAAGACACGCCTGAGGCCCCAGAGACACCCCAGGACCCTAGAGACTCCCCAGGAACCCAGAAGCATCCCTAGGGTCACATAGACATGCCTGGGACCCCAGAGACACCCTCAGGACCCTAGAAACACTCCCAGTACCCTAAAGATATCCTTGGATCCTGACATTCCCAGAGTTACATAAATACCCTGCCATAGACCCATTAGGACTCCTTAGATGCCCTAGGACCCCAGAGACACCCTCAGAACCCTAAAGACACGTCTGAGGCCCCAGAGACACCCCAGGACCCTAAAGACATGCCTGAGGCCCCAGAGATACCTCAGGGTTACATAGATACCCCCGGGATCTCAGAAGCATCCCCAGAGTCACATAGACACCCCTGGGACCCTAGAGACACCCCTGAGGCCCCAGAGTTACCCCAGGGTCACATGGATGCTCCAGGGTCCCCAGACACCCATCCCCCAGGACCCTAGACACACTCCCAGTACCCTAAAGGTACCCCCCCATAGACCCATTAGGACTCCTTAGACATCCCTAGGACCCCAGAGACACCCCCAGGAGCCTTTATTACCTCCTAGGATCACATAGAGGTTGTGGCCTATAGACCCTCGAGGACTCCATTGATATTCTGAGGACCCAGTGGACACCTCCATCCTCCTGCAGAGCTCATAGTCCCCTCCATTATCCCAAACATCCCTCCCAGGACTCCATAGACACCTCTTAGGACCACAGAGACACCCCAGGGCCTCATAGATAGCCCTCAGGACCCTTTAGACTCCTCAGGACCTCATAGACAACCTCCTCTAGATCACACAGATAACCTTTGTCCTGTGGGGCCCATAGACATTCCCCCCACCATCTAAGACTTCATAGACCACTCCCACCCCCCACACATAGATCTCAAGGCCATAAATACCCCAGGACCCAGTAGATACCCCATATCCCCTGCTGAGCCTATAGATCATCCCAGGACCCCAGAGACCATTCCCCATCCCCCACCACACAGAACCTATAGCCCCTCCCCTCCCCTCAGGACCCTGTAGAGACTCCTTTCAGAGATTTAGACCTTTTAGACCCCATAGGCCCCCTTCCCCCAGCTCCAGATCCTTGTTTACCCCATAGACCCCACCCAGGAAATCATAAACCACCCACTCCACAGCTCATAGGCTGTCAATAGATCCTCCCTTTGGAGCCTGTAGACCATTTGTCCTTCCCCCCCCCCAGGACCCCACAGAACCCATCTCTCTCCTAGGACCCTCTGGGACCCCACGGATTCCATAGACCACTTCCCCGGCTTCTAGAGATGCCATGGCCTCAGCCCCCAGATCCCATGAATCAGCACCCCACTCTCCCCTCCATCCTCCTGGCTACCCAGCCATTTTGTTGCCCCTCAGACCATGGACCTGTCTTGATTCTACCAATCTCACAGACCCCATCCCAGTGGTCTGTTATGACTCTGAAAACCTAGGTGGCCTTCCTAACTCCCTCCCTCATCCCACTTACCTGAAGACCTCACAGAGTACACTTCACTGGCCTCAGAAACTCTCTCTCACCTTAGGTTCAGGGAACTGCATACCCTAGACTTTGCTGCTCTGTAGATGCTGCTGATCCCCTGGCCCACTAGAGGCAGAGGAATACAGTGGAAAAGGCATGCTCTGAAGTCAGAGCACCTGGGTTCCAGTTCCACCTGTGAAGGTTACTATTCCTTTGACTTTTGGACACTCATTTGGCCTCACATTCCTCATCTGGAAAATGAGGGTTTTGGAAAGGTTCACTGAAATAAGCATTTATATAACGCCTACTATGTGCCAGGCATGGTGCTAAGCAGTGATCCCCATTTTACAGTTGAGCAAACTAAGGCAAATAGGTTAAGTGACTTGCTTAGGGTCACACAGCCAGTAAGTATCAGAGGCAGGATTTGAACTCACTTCTTCCTGACTCCAGGCTCAACACTGTATCCACTGTACCCCCAGGTAGAAGGTATCTTCTAGTTTAAGCTCTAAGGTTGATGACTTCAGGGGGCTTACATAGCCCCTGATCCCACAGACTCCTTCCTGTCTCTCCCCACTCCTTCACAAATCTCACTAGATTGTCCCTAGGGCCTTCACCTACCTGGCCTAGTATACATCCCACAGCCCTTAATTTCCTTCAGCCTCCAGTTGGATCTGACCAACTCCATGGACTTCATTCTGTCACCCAGGACCCAGCTTCCTAGATTGGTAACACAGCCCCACCAATTAACATCCCACAGGTGGGACTCCGAAGAGTCCACGCTCACGATCCCACAACTCTTATCTCCACAGAATTTATCCTACAACTGTTCCAACCCTATCAACTTGAATTGCACAGACTCCAACCAGCCTCATAAACTCTAACCCCACAGGGCTTCAAAGACTAATCCCATACATTTTTATCCCCTACTCCTCCACAGATGTCATGGACTCCAGTCCCATCAAAATACACCCTCACAGACGAAAAGCCACTCGGACTGTACCAACTATAATTCCTAAAAGCTTCACTAATTCCAGTTGACCTGTTCCCACAGCCCTCACCCAACCCTGACCCCACCATCTTCAGTTGACCAACCTCGAAGCATGTCTGTGTTGACAACATCATAATGTTACTGCCCTGAGAACACCCAGCCTAGCTAAATTCATCACCCATTTTCCCAGAAAGCTCTTCCTGAGCCCAGAGATTTGTTCAGTCCCACAAATGACCTCGATCAATCTCCACAGACCCTATTCCTCGGGTCTCTACTTATCTCTGATGTCACAGCTAGAAGCAGCTTTTGAGGTCATCTAGTCCATTGCCATAGCCTTTTCTCATTTTTATTCTTCTAGTTTTATATGCTCTAACAAGTTTATGGTTTGATTATACACAGACGAGTATATTCAAGGCTGATTCCCAAATGAATAATAAATCATTTCCTGTCTGTTAAAATATAATCAATTTTATCCAGCCTGCCTCCTGAGCCCTCTAGACTAGGAATCCCCATTTTTCACCTGAATGGATCCAGTCCATCTGTCAATATCTGTCACCTTTTTGGGGGCAGCCTGCCCTTGTTTGTTCTTCTAAAAAATGTATCATTGGTTCCATTTGTTTTTACAGTGGTAATTTCCTTCCACTCCACTTGTTTGAACTATGCCTTGTGACCCCGCCCCCCCAAATATGCAAAAACACCCACTTATAGTGCCTGCCCTGTTGCTGTTTGAGAGGAGGTATTTTTCATGATCTCTGGGACCTTTCTTGATTTTTTTCCCCCATTACTCAGTTCAGCTTCTTTTTAGTGATATGTTCATTTACATTTTTGTAGTCATCATGTTTATTGTTCTCTTGGTTCTGCTTATTTGCTCTCTATCATTTGATAAAAATCTTCCTACATTTGTCTCAGTTCCTCTTCTGTAATGTGTAATATCTTTACAGCACAATATTCCATAACATGCATATAAGCATATACCAAAGAAATAGGAGGTAGTCAAGGAGGGTGGGCACTAGCAGTTCAGGGCCTCAGTAAGGACTTCATGTACATGGTGGTGGTGCTTGAGTTGTCCATCCTGAAGAAAGAGAGAGATTCTGTGAGAAGGAAGTGCATACCAGGCATGGGGGGGATGTTTGGTACAAAGGCATGGAGAAAAGAGATGGAATGCTGAGTCTAAGGAAAGAGAGTCAGCTTGGCTGGATAGTAGAGTGAGAGAAAGGGAGTGATAGAATGAAGCAGGAAGGATAGGTTGGGGCCACACACTCAGACCAGGCCCTACCCTGGTCTACACACCTTCTGACCTATCCGCACTAACCCTGTCTTAACTGTTGGCCCTTGGTCTTGGCCCTACTAACTACCCTGGACTTCTCAACCTGGCCCTTTGGCAGCCTGGCCTTCGTGAATTCCCTTCTAGCTTCTTTCAACTCAGCTACATGTGTGACCTCACCATGCCTCCTGTGAACCTAAGAGCCTCCCATAGTTCCCACTAACTTCAGCAGTTGTAGAATAAGAGGGAAAACCTGACAGACTATTCCTGCTACACATGGGGCCAGAGAAAGAGAGAAATCATAGTAGGAAGCATTAGGTGGTGACACCAGGAAGGGAGCAGGCACACCAATCCCTAGGGGTTGCAAGCTGACCTGGGACTAAAAAGCATCCCCTGGGGGGTTACACTAGCTGGAGGCCTCATACCTTGACAAAGGGAGGGTAATGGTCTCAGATTTCTGCCTGTACCTTCCTTAATGCTAAATAAGAGACCTGTATCTCTTCAGCCTCTCAGAAGAAAATATAAGCAAACCAGAAGGGGAACTCTCCTGCAGAAGATGTTTGGGCAGTTTGTAAATTACTTGCATGGATGAAAGTGTGGTGGAGGGAAGGAAGGAATGAAGGAAGGGGCAGAAATGGCCTGGTATCCTGGGGAATTTTCCCTAACAGCTCTCTGGAAGTTAGTCTGACCCAGTGCCCAAATGCTGTTAAGCCAGGCTTTGGCAGCTAGATGACACAATGGATAGAGCGCTAGGCCTCTAGTCGAGATCTGCGTTCGCATCTGGCCTCAGACACTTACTAGCTGTGTGACCCTGGCTAAGTCATTGACTTCTGTCTACCTCAGTTTCTTCAACTTTAAAAATGAAAGCACTCACCTCCCAGGCTGGGTGAGGATCAGATGAGATAATATTTGTAAAGCACTTAGCACATGGCTGCCACATATTTGGCACTTAAAAGATGTTTGTTTCCTTCCTTCCCTTACTGTTGATTAGTTGGGGAAGCACTTTTCCTTTCTGGGCCTCAGCTTCTTCCTCTGTAAAATTAGGAGGTTGGACTTGACACACTTTGACAGTCTCTGTTGTAAAGACCTTTTCAGCTTGATTTCTCTAATTTTAAGTTGTGGTTATTATTTCCATTCTCTCCTTTTGTTGTTGTTGTTCAGTCATTTTCAATCATGACCCCATTTGAGGTTTTCTTGGCAAAATACTGGTTTGCCATTTCCTTCTCCAGCTCATTTAACAAATGACGAAACTGAGGCAAACAAAGTGACTTACCTAGGGTCATGTAGCTAGTTAAAATGAGTCTTCCTGACTGCAGGACCTGTGCTCTATCCACTGTGCCACCTAGCTGCCTCCTCACTTTCCTCACACATTATGCCAGCCCTCGGGGCTCCAGCCAGAGTGAAGTTTCAGGTGCATGCTGCTTAGCTAATGGTATGCTGTTCAGTGCTAGGCTTCCAGGCCCTCCTGTGAGCATCCCTGAAGTGGTGAGTACTTTCGAGAAAACCAGTGAGCAGAAACTTCCTCATCTGAGAGCAAGGGCTGAAGGGATTCACCCAGAATGCCCTCACTGGAACATTCCCTCTTTAGCCACTTTCGCTTGCTGTGAGCCTCCCTGCTTGTATTTTTGACAAAGTGGTGGACTTCTAGTCAGAGAACCTGCATTTGAGGCCTGGTTCTGCTGTATAACCTTCAGCAAATCATTTCCCTGGGCTTCAGTGTCCTCCAAGATTACCCTGGCCCTGCCCAGTTCTGAGGTAATGTACATAAAGCACTTTGGAAGCTTTTATGGAATGTAATCAATCAGCGGGCATTTATTAAACACATGCTGTATTGCAAGGACTATGCTAGATGCTGGGGATTCAAAGACAAAAGCGAGACAGTCCATGCTGTCAAGGAGCTCCCAGTTTCTTAAATTTTCAGCAAAGAGCCCAGAGCTAGGAGCCAAGAAACCTGTGTCCTCATCCTAGCCCTGACATTGAGAGCTGTGTAACCCGACATGAGTCATTTCATTTCTGGGGATCTCCTTTTCCATCTTTCAAATGGAGATGATCATTCTTATACTATGGATAGCCTCTCAGAATGAAATCAAATCAAGGACATGAAAGTTAAAGGATCCTCATTGTTATAGTACTTTGTGACCTGAGAGCTGTAATGAAGTTACCTGGCTTTGTACGCTTCAGTACTCCAACTCAATGTATGTATCTCTTGAACATGTTAAAAAATTGAGTTCATAGAAAATATTATGGGCTTCTGAGATTTGTAGCTCTTAGAAAGAAGGCCATCTCCAGGATGTATTTTTTCAGCAGTAGCTGGGGCCCTTTTCCTGGCTCAACAGCCAGTGAGAAAATGTGTAGTAAAAAGTTCCCATAGCCTATAATAATAGCTTTCCTCCAGTGCCTCATGGATGTCATGGAGATGACTTTAGGTTTAGTGGGATGTAAACACTTAACAGATACTACCAGCCTGGAAAATTACAGGCCTAGTGATGAGCTACATGTGTCTGTTCAATAAAATTCAACAAATATCGATTTCATACCTCCTTTTTACAAAGTACTGTGTCAGGTTCTAGAGATACAAAGTCAAAAAGATAAAATTGGGCTTGCCCCCAAGAAGCTTATATTCTGCTGTGGCATACAATATGTACACAGATAAGCGGAAATTTTTTTTTAGAAAAAAGCATTAACAGGAAGGAAGCTAAGAATTCTAAGAGGCCAAGGTGAGAAGGGAGCCCATTCCAGGGACACAGATTGTGCAAAGGTATGGCTGTTTTCTGAGGACCAGAATCCCAAAAGGTCAGAGAGTCATCATCAGGTTGACCAAAGGTAATGAACTTTTTGACCTTAACATTTAGGACTAGATCAAGAAGGGGTCATGGTTTGCATTGGACTAAATTGTGGATTTTTAACATCATTTCTCACATTGCTATAGTGTTTTAAGGTTTACAAAGTGCTTTCCTCAAAATAGCCCAGTGAAATAAATAGTGCAAGTATCATTTCCATTTTATAGAAGAGGAAACTGAGTCTCAGATGTTTTGTGACTCATCCAAAATAACGTGGTTAGTGAGTGGTAGAAATGGGGCCCAAAAATGGGGCCTCTGCCTAAGTCCAGTGTTTTTTTTCATTCTCTGAAGGGTATGGAATGTGTTCATTGATGGCAGAAAACACGTGTACACGTGTGCACGTGTGTGTGTGTGTGCAAGCATGAGATATAGATTGACTGGCCTATGGAGCCAACTCATTCATATTTCCTTTGCCTTCAGCCATGATCTGAAGAGCCCTGGGTGTGGAAGGACAGTAGTGTGAGTAGCCTCAGGCTTTTGTTGTTCAGCTTAACATAACACCTGCTTTATATATCTCATTCCCTTCCTTGACAGGTCCAGCCAACCCTGAAGAAGAGAGTGTCCTCTATTCCAACCGAGCAGCTTGCCACTTGAAGGATGGAAACTGTACACATTGCATTAAAGACTGCTCTGTGTAAGCAGTGTCCCTTAAGGCTAAATGCAGCTTTGAATATCTTTCTGCTTCAGGGCCCCCAGGGTGATTCAAACCTGTGGGTGGCTGGCAGGAGTCATTTCCTCTCCAGAGCTAACCCTGTTGAGTGCATTGTGACTGATCTCAAGAAAGCATTTCTGCCTGAACTTGGAATAGGAGAGAGGTCCAGAGGTCCTTTCCCCCTCTGGCTTTGGTGGTCAGGGGGCTCTACTTTCTGTAACCAAGCTATAGAAAAGCAGGGGATGGGGTGGTCTGCGCTGTATGGGGCTCTTGGGAGAACTGTAGAGGAAGGGAAGCTGTAGGCCCAGAATTGCTAGAGCAGTCTCTGTTCTTCTGATAGGGGAACAAATTGGGTTACTGTGTCCTCTAGTTGGGAGCTCCTGGCCTCAGAGGATTGGAGTGTTCTGAAAGGCGATTTAGCATAGTGTGGTGAAAAACGTGCTGGACCTGGAGTCTGTTGGTCTGCATTCATGTTCTTCTTCCACTCCTTATTAGCTGTGTCACCTTCAGCTGATCATTTAGCCCTCTGTGCCTCAGTTTCTTTACTCTTAAAGTGGGCATAAGATCATAGATAAAAGCTAGAGGAAGCCATCCAACCCCTTCCCCCCAACCCACTCCCATTTTACAGATGAAGAAACTGATTTGCCTAAGATCACAGACAGTGAGTAATAGGTTTTAACCTGACTGCTCTGATTGCATTGCCAGCGCCCTTGCTCTCATACCAAGCTACGTCCTGTCATGCTCAATACATCCTCTACCTCATAGGATTGTTGTGGGGCAAACCCAAAGCGTGATAGAGATAAGATTAGACCTCCTTTATTTCCATATGACATCCTTTAGTGTTTTCCTTAATTTCTTCTCTCTTGATTTACCCCCAACTAATTGCCCTATTTTGTCTTTTATTTTAGTTAGCATCATATTGTCACAGATAGAGATCTGGTCTTGAACCCAGGAAGACCTGGGTTCAAGTCCTGCCTCTAACAGACTGGCTGTGTGATCATGGGCAAGTTTGCATCTGGCATTGCAGTCAGGGTCATCTGCACTATGCCAGTGAATTCACAGGTCCCAACCCAGGCTCTTTAAGATTTAAGAAACACTTGCCCCACAACAGTTAGATACTATAGATATCATTATCAATAACAATTTTACAGATGAGGAAATTGAGGCTTAGAAAGGTGAAATGATTTGTACAGTGTAAAAGGTGGGTGCCAAGTCTATTATGTGACATCACACTAGAATATTCTATTTTTGATAGCATACAAGAGAAAGATATTATGAAGCGGGGAGTTTTTTTCAGAATATTCTCCTGATGTTCTATCCTGGCCATATGTTGTCGTTATCGGGGTCTCTGGGTTGAACTAGCCAAAGAGTGAGGGGTAGGATGGTGTTTATTGACTCAGGAAGCCACACTGCTTTTTTTCCCCTCTTCTAGTGCATTGTCTTTGGTTCCTTTTGGCATAAAACCTTTGCTAAGGCGGGCAGCAGCCTATGAAGCCTTGGAGAAATACCAGCTGGCTTATGTGGATTACAAGACAGTGCTGCAGATAGACTGTACTCTGCCAGCTGCCCATGATGGAGTCAACAGGTAAGTCTGCTACGCTGCCTGTGATCGCCATTGGACACTTCCCTTTGGTTGTCTTCTGGCACAAAACTGCCAGCTTACGACTTAGCTAAGCCTTGGGGAAGGGACAGTTGCATCGTTATTTGTAGCTTTTGTTTCTTAAAAACCAGCTCAGTCAGAAAGCAAAGCAAGAACTGTATCCTTTTCCCAGGTTCATAGAAATTTGCATGGTGTGTCCATCATGAGGAAAGCTCTGTTTAGAGGAAAAGTCTATACAATCAGATCATCCCTAGTGGGGAATAAGGTGTCAGATTTGACATTGCTGGGTTCTTTCCAGGTCCATATCCTGAATTTCTAACTTGTGCTAAGTCTGGGAAACAAATTAATCTTCCTAATGCATGAGTTTAAGTAAGACACCACTGGTCCTCCCTGCCCGACTTCCCCGCCCTCCCTTCACAATCTGGCCCCAGCCTACTTTTCCAGACTTTTCTCCCACCACTTTCCTTAGAATTCTCCAAACTTTAGCCAGATGGAACCACTTGCTGCCCTTTGTTCACATCCAAGTGCTTGCTGGCATCTTTCTCTTCTTTTTTTTTTTAGCTTTCTCTTCTTTCACACTGATCCTTATTCCTAGAATTCCTTCCTGGCAGTCCCCCACCCTGTTAAAATCCTACTGATTCTTTGGGGCCCAACTGAAATGACACCTCCTCCATGAAGATTTCCCTGATGACTAACGACAAGTATTCCCTACCTATCTCACAGAGGGTATATACTAAGGCAGTGACTGCCTCCCCCCTACCCCCCATCTACCCCCAATCATCTTTTCTCCAAGTTAGTCATTTCCATTTCCTTTAATAAATCCTCATGACATAAACTTGAGGCACTTCACCATCCTGGTTACTCTCCAGGTTATTAATGTCATTCCTGAAATGTAGTACCCCAGAATTCAGTGCTGTACTACAGATGTGGGCTGACCACATAAAGTGGCTTAGCTCCCTGTGGATATGGCCTGATCCATCTCATGAGATACAAGATACCCTAATATATGAAACACTAAACAAATTCCTTGAAGGAATGTTAACTTGTTTGTTGTTCTTATATAGAAAGCAACCTTGAATGTCTGGAGAACAGCTCAGGAGAGTTACAAGTTGGTTTAGAAATTCAGGCCTTAAACAAACTTAATGACGCATTGGGAGGGTTTGCTAACTTTGTATTCTCTGAGCCATGAGGCTTCTCAATTCTCAGTGAGCTATAATTTTATAGATAGTGGCCGTCTGTGCAGTGGGGAGGCTCTCAGATACTGCAAAATGTACGGATAAAGTTTTACAGACCATAGCCTTCACTGAAAGAGCAGGACCGGCCTTCCCCTTCCTGCCTTTTCCCCAAATTTGCAAAGTCAGTGCCAGGGTGATCCATAATCTGCTTTTCCCCCCTTCTGCCTACTCAGTTATAATGCTCAAGAATTTCTTGGCTTTTGTGTCATTCTGTTGATTGCTTTATCTTGAACCTGTAGTCCACTCAAACCCCAGATCTTTTTCAGACAAATTGCTCTCTAGCCATGACTCCCCCATCTCTACTTGTAAAATTGATTTTTTTGAATTCAAGTGTAAGACTTTATATTTATCCCTATTACATTTCATGTTATTGGATTTGTTCCTATGTTCCAGGCTGTCAGGCCTTCTTGAATCTTGACTGTCATCCAGTGTTAGCTCTATGTCATCTAAAGAATTACTGTGTTCATCCAAGCCATTGGTAAAAATGTGAAATAGCATAGGCCAAACACAGAAACCTTGAGCACTCTACCAGAGACCACCTTCCAAGCTGACATTGAACCATTAATGATAACTCTGGGTGTAGTCATTCAACCAGTACTAAATCCATCTAACTACACAGCAGTTTGGACCCAGAGGTGTCACACTCACAAATAAATCAACCCCTGCAATGGCATATTGCCTTAGAAAACCTCCAATTAACTTTATCTGTGGTGTATTTTTATTTATTTTGTTAAATATTTCCTAATTACATTTTAACGTAGTTCCTCAGCACTAGGGGATTTTGCAACACTTCTGGACTAGACATATCTCATCATATTTTCCACAAGATGACATGAGAAACTGTTAAATGCTTTGCTAAAATCTAGACAAGTATATGTCTCTATCTATCAGTCTAGTGACCCCACCAAAAAAAACCCCCCAAAACTTAACTAAAACCAAAAAACCAAATTAGTCTGTCATGACTTGTTTTTTTTTTTGAAGCCATGCTGGATCTTTGTGATCAATATGCATCCTTTTTAAGGTATTCATTAACCATTCTTTACTATTGCATTTTAGAATTTTTCCAATTTTAAACAAGTTTTACATCCCAAACTATAGTTCTAAACCATTCTATAAACTAAAATATAGTTTATAGAATACATTTTCTTCCCTTTTTGGAAAATTGATAAATTTGTCCTTTTGCAATTCTATAGTACACTGTGACCTTTCAAAGATAAAAGATAAATGATAGTAACTCAGCCATCCCACCTGCCAGTTGTGGGGTGGTTTTTTTTGTTTGTTTTTCCTTTTTTTTTTTTTAAATACAGGAGGATGTCATTAATCTGAACCAGGTGATTTGAATTCATCAAGAGAAGTTTGGTCTCCTTCAATCGCTTCACTTATCTTAGGTTTCAATTTCCTATTATTCATTTTTGTTCTCTCCCTTTCAGTCCAAAGATCATTCTGCTTGGCAGAGAAAAGAGAAGCAAAATGAGTTGAATAGCTTTGCCTTTTCTTCTCTTGGCTATTTATTGTCCCATCCGTCCTCAGCAATGATCTGATCCTTTCTCTGATTCTCCTTCCTCTCTGTCCTCCCAGACAATATAGCTAATTTTTTTTTTGTTTTCCTAAGCTTTACCTCCACAGACTTAGCTTTTTGAGTTGTAGTATTCTTGCCATTCTTTAGGGGCCATATTTTGCTTTTATATTCATCATCTGTTCCCTGTCTTTTCTTCCATCTTTTGTACCTGCCTTTAAAAAACTTACATTGGTTGATGAGATCCCCGTGCATTCACATCAGCCCTTTATTTATTGATTCCTCTTTATATCTTATCAGAATAGTTTTTCTTTGTGCCTTTAGAATTTCATTCCCTACCCCTTCTGGGGAACTCATATAGAATTTCAGGCAATAGGATCCTTCCCATCCCTTCCCTGAACACTTTGAAATCTTGTCTCCTAAAATTTAAGGTGCATATCAGACTTTCTAGCTTGCCTCTCCTTTTCACTCTTAGATTCAAAAATGGAATTGTTACTTTGCTATGAAGATTCACATTATTTCCACTACAGTAATCAGCCTCCCATTGTTGGTGAGAATCAGATCAGAAGAGGGTTCTCTGTTGTTGATTCCTTCACTTTCTAAAGGCTGAAATTATCCTTAAGACAAATCAAGAAATTATCAGTCTCTCCACTTTTGCCAGAGAGAAAGCTCCAGCAGATGTCTGGGTAATTTGAAGTCTCTCATTACTACTATGTCTTTTTATCAGGAAGTGATCTTTTTCTTGAATTCTCCATCAGTTTCTTTTTTTCCAGGTGCTCTGAACATACCCCGCTGACTATCATTTCTCTTTCTGCTTCCTTTGATCATCTAAATGTTGTGTACTATGCTTCCCCCCCCTGGTCCCTAGATGTCTTGCAAGAATAGCTTTTTAAAACAAAATGCCACTTTAATGACACCTTTCCCCTTCAAAGCCATATTCCAGTTGTGGGTGTCATCCTACCAAGTTTCAATCGTACCCATGAGGTCACATTTATCTCTTTACTTTAGTGTATCTTGTGGGTTACTCAGATGATCCACATTTTTATATAGGCATCTAAGATCAATAATTTTTATTATTGGCTCTTTTCTTGGATTTTAGTCTCTGTTGAGCACTGACAGAGATGTTAACCGTGCCTTGTAACCTAGGTACTGGATGATGGAAATGTTTGAGTGGCTCAGCCAGAAAGCCTTTTTCTAATCTCTTACCTTTGTTGTAGGATGACCAAAGCTCTCATGGACACAGATGGGCTTGAGTGGCGTCTTAAGCTGCCCCCCATCCCCTCAGTGCCAGTTGCAGCTCAAAAGAGGTGGGAAGCAGCTCCAGGGGGTGACCATGAGAAGGCAGACAAAAGCAGACTCAAAGAAGCCGACACCTTAAAGAACAAAGGTGAGTCTTTGTCCTAGTTAAAGTAAGCCACACTTGAATCATGGTGCATTTAATTTTGTGTCATAAACTAAGGAAAATACATATTTCTTGCCTGGCTTTCAGCCTACCAGATACTATGAATGCAAGTGCAGAAGAGATCTGGGCCAGAGCCCTCATGGGCTGGTAGAACCAAAGACCAAGAAAGAAGATGCCACTTCTGCCCCCATGCATGTTCTCCACCCCTAGGATAGGATGTACTCCAGATGCATGGGGACCAGTCCTCTCAGGCTCCTTACAGGCAGGCCAGCCTGGTAACTTGTTTGCCAGTGTGACAATAACTCACATTTATATAGCACTTTAAGCATTTTCCTCTATTTGTTACAATGATTTTGTGAGGTAGGTAGTATTATTATCCCCTTTTTTACAGATGGAGAAATTGAGGCAAAGAGGAAATTATTTGCTTAGGTTCACTGCCAGTACTTGAGCTGGGGTAAGAGTAACTACTTATGTTCCTATGCTTTTTTACATGCACTATCTCATTGGATTTTCACAAAAGCCCTATAAACTTGGCAGGTTAGGAATTATAATTCCAACATACAGATGAGGAAGCTAACCAAGAAAGGTCCACTGACTTGTTCCAGAGTACCTCAGCAAGGCAGTGGCAGAGCTTACAGGTGAACCTCGGTCTTTGCATCCAGTGTCCTTCTACCAAACGGGCAGGGCTGAACCAGAAACAGCTGCACTTGGTATCAGTTCTTCATTTCTTGGTATAGACAGCTGGGCTGTTCTTCTGAGGAGCAAGGACCTGAGTCCCAGAGAGGGTGGAAAATTGCTCAAGGGCCTGAGTGTGTTCCTGTTATTCTTTCCCCCACCCTTTTTTTTCCCCCTAAAAGCAGAGATCAAATACTTTTCTTTATTGGGCAGCTGTCACCCCTTTTAGTAACATCACCACCTGATACTGATGGAAGAGGTGTAACAAACACCAAATAAAATGGGCATTTCCATGGACATAGTAGAACAGATAAAGAGGGTTGTACATGTAAATGCAGGTCTCTGGTATGAATACTTATCCTCTTTATTGGGTGTAAGTTCAGCCTGTGGCTTTCAAAGTTACTCTGCTTGTCTGTCATATCTGGCCTTGCTTTCTTCCCCACATTTTAAAAAAGGTGCTTTAATGACCCTTATTCAAAACGTTTTGTCTTTATAATGTTGTTATATGAATTGTTTTTCTGCTTGCTTTGCTCTGCATCAGTTCATATAGGTCTTCCAGTGTCTCACATTTCAGCCTGTCTTAGGGTGCAAAAATATTCCATGACTCCATATACCACAATTTGCTTAGCTATTCCCCAAAAGTAGGGTGCCCTCTTAGTTCCCAGTCCTTGGTGGTGTAACTTTCAAAACACTTTGATGACCATTATTTCATTTTGACCTTACAACACTGCTGTGAGGTAGGTGGGGCAATGATCATAATCCCAGTTTGATAGACAAGAAACTGAGGCTCAAAATGAGTAGTGATTTGTAGAAGGTCACGTGGTGTCAGTGGTAGAACCAGGACTGCAGCCCCAGATATAACACATCAGTCTGAATAGAAGCCATGTTTTGTTTCGTTTTGTAAATTCTTACTTCTATACAACTGTCACACAGTCTATAAGAAGTGGTATTTTTCAGTCTATATCTCTATACATTTTTTCCCTTCCCAGAGATACCATTTTAGGGTTGCAACCTATATTTTAAGTAGTTAAGTATGCTGATCCTCTTTTTCTAGTGCCTACTGGTGGAGACATCGAGCGAGCGCGGGCCCTAAAGGAAGAAGGCAATGAGCTGGTGAAAAAAGGAAAACATAAGGAGGCCGTAGAGAAGTACACTGAGAGTCTTATGTTCAGCAGCTTGGAGTCTGCGACCTACACCAACAGGTACGTGGAGTGGCCAGGCTTAGGACTGACTTTATTCCATGTTGGAGTCCTCCTAAGTGCTCAGCCGTGGGGAGGGCTCTCTGGGTCTTCTCCTATCAGAACACTTGGCTTGTTTATCTGCCCCTGGGACACAGTGTAAATTTCTTTCCTGTTAGGAGAGTGAGAGACCTGGCAAGAATTCCTACTGAGCTAACCTTTAAATGCTTGGTTGAAGCTAAGAGAAAGGCACTCATACATTCACCCATTTTGAGAATAATAAACTGATTTACTATGCCATTGACAGTTTACAAGAGGCTTGACATATTCTCATGTGATCTCCACAGAAAACTTGGGAGGTAGGTAGTACCACCACCCCCATTCCCATGAACACAACTCCATATATTCAGCCTTTCCGTGAGAATAATAGCTGTTCCTACTTCTGTAGGGCTTTAATGTTTACATTGGACTTTCTTGACAATGCCTCTGTGTGTGGTAGGTATGATTACATATTTATGTAAAGTGATTCCTTCCTTTATAAGTGAGGAAATTGAGACCCAGAGAGGATGGCTTGCCTAAAGTTACATAGCTAGTCAAGTGCCTGGCAGAGCTGGGATTGATCTGATGGAAAGAGCATTAGATTTGAAGTCAGAAGACCTAGGTTCTCATGCCAGCTCGGCCACTGTTGCTGCATTATGTTGGTAGGTCTTCTTCAGTCCTTTCTCCTCTCTGGCTGTTTTCCCCTCTGTGGACGAGGAGGGATTGGGCTGTATTACTTCTGAGTCCCTGCCAGGTCCAAAGCATCTGAGCCCGTGAGTCACACTCCCATATGCTTTCCATTTTACCTCATTTGTCTCTCAACCTGCAGTTTTCTTAACAAGCCTTGCTCCTTTTCAGTCAACAGGAAGCACATGACATCCCCTTGTGCTCCTTCCTACCAGCTGTGGCAGTGCTGTTTAAGGAATCACTGAAAACAAGGGGAGCCAGTTCCATTGGCCACACAGAGAGCTATAGTTCGTGGCCTTGGCTTCAACTCCAAAAACTTTTATTACTTCCTCTGTGGACCTGTGCTTAGTGAGTGCCATGAGGGATGACAGATGATCTCTGCCCTAAGAGATCTCAGTCTAGTGGAGAGAACAAGGCTATGAGAATAAGTGCATAGGACAGACCAAGAGAGAGATCCCTTCCATTATGGAGTGGTAGGCGTGTTCTCCCTGCATGTACTCGTGTGTAGGGGAGAAGAGAGGGTCAAAGACAGTTTTCTGGAGTAGGAGGTGAGGGCATTAGCCCTCATGCCTCGGGATAACTGTTTCTTTTCCTAAACTGTCTCTGGGCCTGAAGGTTTGGAAGGGAATGTGACAGGAGAATTCTTTCTGTAAGCAGGAGCCCAGACTTGTATTTCTTTCCTTTTTCGCCCTTCTAGCTAGCCTGAGGCAGGAAACCTGATTGGTATCTGTACAATAACTCACTTCCCTCTGAGCCTCGGCTTCCTCACTTGTAAAACAAGCTCTTGATCAATCAGCAAGTATTTATTAAGCTTCCACTATGTGCCAGGCACTGGGCTAGCTACAGGGAAGGTAATTCCAGCTCTGACAGATGGCCCCAAGTCCACTCTGACTCTGACATTTAATGTATGGCCAGTCTTGAAGTAACTGGAATGGCTCTGGGGACAAAAAGACCAGATGCTGCCGCTTTTTTTTTTTTAAAGGCAATTGGGGTTAAGTGACTTGCCCAGGGTCACACAGCTAGTAAGCGGCAAGTGTTTGTGGTCTGAGGCCGAATTTGAACTCAGGTCCTCCTAACTTCAGGGCCAGTGCTCCATCCACTGTGCCCCCTAGCTGCCTCTGGCCAGAGGCTTCTTGATCACATCACTATCAGCTACCACATGCAAGATCCCATAGTAGCTTCTGGACTCCTTGGGTGAGGGTCATCCCTGCACCACCAGTTTCATCTCAGAAACTAGGCTAACTCCAAGTGGCTGTTTCTGAAGGGAACTGACTCCATTTCCTGTGATCGCATTTTTCTCAGAGAAGATGAAGGCATTTTACCATCTCTCCTTTCTAGATTAGTTTGTCCACTTATCAGTAGTAGTTTGTTCTTAGAAGGACAAACCGTGGTGAAGGGGAATCGGCCTGTTGTCAGGCGGCTCACACCCACTATGACAAGACCACTAAATCCTGGGCCTTGGTTGGCTTCAGCTGCTCTTTGATAATTAGTAGTTACTAATTAGGATAGAGTTCTATTAGGTGACCATGAAGTTCCCTCACCACAATCCTGCTCCCTTTCACAGATGCAGATTGCAAGCCCTTCACACTTTAGTAGATGGTTTTCACAAGTTGGTGATTAGCCTTTCTGAATTTATGGTCCTCAAAGGGCAGAGTCCTTCACCAGGCCTTGTTCAGCTTGGAGGGAACTACTGTTTTTGTGGCAATTCCAAGGGTTAATTTCCTCTGTTTACATATAAGGAAACTTAGAATCCGATTATAGTGCCCTTAAGCCAGGTCTTCTGACTCCAAATATAGCACTTTCTGGGACATCATGCTGCCCTGCAGGGCTGGCCCATGGGCCTGGGGCTTGTCTTCCTTCCCTACTCTCACACTTGTCTGTCTGCCTTCCAGAGCCCTCTGCTACTTGTCACTGAAGAAATATAAAGAAGCTGTAAAGGACTGCACAGAGGCTCTCAAATTAGACTCAAAGAACGTCAAAGCATTTTATAGGCGTGCCCAGGCATTCAAAGAACTCAAGGTAAGTGGGATCCCTCGCCCTATCCTAACTGGGCTCTCTTAAGCCCCTGGGCTGCCCCTGCTGCTGGCCCAGCTGGCATGTGCCTGCTCCTGCTGGCCCCTGCTCAGACCCTGTAGCAGGTGTGCCAGGTAAGTACTGACTTCAGGCCCCAGCCTCCTGCCTTTCCTCTTCCCTTATCCCTGCCCCCTACCCCCCAGGACTATCAATCCAGCCTCGAAGACGTCAACAGCCTCCTGAGTATTGAGCCAGAGAACAGCGCCGCCGCCAAGCTGAGGCAGGAAGTCAACCGGAGCTTAAAATAAATAAAGTCCAGGAAGGGGCAGCAAACCTGCCTGATTTCACTTGGAGAAGCTGAGGGCCTCTTTGTCTACTCCAGGGCCGAGAAACAGCATGGGAGCCCTCTGACCCAGGCCAGGTCATGCCCTGGGCATGGCACTCCAGCTTCTCTCCTTGAACCCATCCATATTGTGCTTCCTTCTCATTCAGAATCTTTGCTCACTGAAAGTCAGCTCAGGTTAGTGAGCCAGGCCTCACCTTTTTGGCTGGCAAGGGTTCCTTCCTCTGCTGATCTTTTTCAGGGAAGCTCTCCTGGCAACACCGCTTTCTCCCAATGGCAGACTCATATCCTTCTTCATCCATTAAGCATGCCCCAACCCTGGTTCGGGAGCTCAATCCATGGGGAATGGAGTCAGGTATTAGTTGGCAAACCACTGCTCCCCTGAGTTGCTTGTGGCACGGAGCATGGCATCCCCCGGCTCCTTTTTTGTGCCCAGGGTATGTGGTGGCTTCACTGGGGATGGAGCCCCTGGCTGTCTTGGTCATCCCGTGTCCCTGTGCACCACTCACATCTGACAGTCATTCTGGGTACTGGTTTGAGTACTTGACTTCTAAAATCTTGTATGCTGTTTCAAGTTACTTGAGTGTCTGTGTGGTGGCAGGCACATTCCCTGCTTCCCCTGCCTCCCCTGAGTTGGAGCCACAAGCCCTAGTTTGGCAGTTGGCCTTTTGCATGTTTTGGGGGGGGATGCTGTCCCAGCCCTAGTTAAAAATGGCAGCTTTAGGGCTCCTCTGAGAGTCCCTATTCCTCTGTACTTTTTGGAGTGATTCTGAATGGCCTCGTGGTTTCAGTCACCCTGTATTTAAGCCACGGCATAAAAAGTAATGTCTGCTACTGGACTTCAGTTGTACCTTCATTTCCAAGGGGACCATGAGACCTCGGCTGGACACTGCCTCTTGTAGTGCAGGCCAGGGTCTTTTATAGTACCCTTGCCACATAACAGGCTGTTCTCCCAAAGGGACGAAGGTAGCTTTGACTGACACAAGGTACAAGCCCTCAACATTAGCACCTGTTCTGCTTGGGGACACAAACCACGACTCTTAATCTTACTCCAGTAGCTGCTGCTAAGTGTGCCTGGGCTCAGTGCAACCTCTCATTACTGAAAGAATTAATGAGTATTTAAGTGGCCACTGGGGTTAATGAAATTTCTTAAGACATGCACAGGTAAGTTTATACAAAATGAATATTCTAAGTTCATTTGGTAAGGGGGCACTGGCAATTGTGACTCAAGAAAGGCTTCTGTACAAGGAAGTCACTGAACTTTGTCCTGAAAAAGTGAGGTGAGGTGGTCAGCGTGAAGACTCGCAGATAGGCACGGGAGTATTGGCTAGGGTCAGACAAAGGAACATCAGTCCTTATTCATCTAAGTGATCAGGGTATTTGCTCATGCAGGATGAGCATGTAAAGTGCTCTTGACAGGAACAGTTGTCTCTCAACCCTGTAGCTTATAAAGCAAAGCTAATCATTTTTTGGAGGGAGAGGGGAGGAAATGCCACAATTTTTACATTTCTTTAACAAGTACACAAAACCCTTCCCGATTCCAGGAAGGCTAATGCCTTTTCTCTCTAAATGACACTGTTTATGGATGGGACTGTGATCAAGACAGAATATAAGGGACAAGCCAATAAGCCACAGAATTAAGGAGTAGGGGAGAGGGGCAGGAATACTGGTAATCTTACAGCAGTATAGGTTCTGAGAGCCAGGAGTGAGCTACTTTAAACCCCAAACAAGAGAATAGCAGTTTATATACCCTGTGCCCACAGTGGTGCGATTTTATCTTCTTGTGTTCCCTTCGAGCAAAGGTGCCCTTCCATTTACCCAGGATTCTGCTGTGCTCTACCTCCTTATCCCCAGGCTTTACTTAGGGGTGCCTATATGCATGGGCAACATACACATGATGATGATGATTCTGGGTAAAGTAGAGTCCATGCAACTTTAATGCACACACAAAATAGCAAAGGATGCTTGACCAGCTTGCTGACTGGTCTTCTCTGTCCACTGACATCAGATTGTGCAGGTACACAGACAAGGAAATAAATTATGGTTATAGTTCAGAGTGCCTCAGGGAAGAAAACTGGAAGGGCTGGTCTCTCTCCAGAGCCATAAGTTTGTTTCACAGTTAGTTTTCTGGGAAGGAAATAAAGAAATAGGTAGAGTACATGATAAACACCAAATACTCTGGGATCCAGTAAAGTTCCAGCTATTGGACATCATTCCTGTAGCAAAGAGAGAAGTAGAAAGTATCTTCCAAGAAAGGACAGTTTCAATGTAAGCTCTCAAAGGACATGGGGGCTGTGTTTGTCTGACTGAAGGATATAGCCAAGACTTCTGGACCCACAATCAATGTGGAAATACATGATTCGAGTTAGATAATTACCTTCTCTCCAAAGAAGGGTTTTATAGAAACAGGATCAGAAAGGCTTTGGCTAAATGCCCGGGGCCCTTGGCTCTCAAAGGCTAGTCCAGAAAAGCATAGGTTCTAGCACATCCTTCCAAGCTGGAAAGGCCTCAGGACGGGCCCAGGGACAAGACTATTCCTCTGTCTTTGGAGGAACAGCCTAGGTAGAAAAGGACCCTTTACTAGAGGATACATATGTGAAACCTAAGGGTCATAATAGTACATTGGGAACCTCTTCCTAACTTTGAAAATAAGGTCATGCAACCCTCAGTGCTAAAGATTAGAGCAGGAGAGGCTACAAGACTGACCAGGGATGGACAGCAGAACTTTCACCCCACCCCCATAACTTCCCTCCCTTCCTGGGCCACTTCCCTGGCCACCATGTTTGATTGGGCCTAGACTCACAGGGGCCTCAGTGTACATATGTCTTGGGTGGTTCCGTGACCTCTTGTGCTTGGAGTGCAGCGATTGCTTCTTCAATCTGGGAGAGGAAAATTAAGATCACCCATATACCTTCCTAGGAAAGCTGCTGCTACCCTACCCTGCCTTTGGCTAACCTCTGAGGACAGGTTCCCATGGTATGTTTTGGTCACACACCCTAGGCATCCAATGGTGCAGTGGACAGAGTACTCGGCCTGGAGTCAGGAAGATCTACGTTCAAATCAAAACTCAGATACTAGCTATGGGACCCTGGGAAAGTTCATCTCTGCTTTGATTTCTTCAACTGTAAAATGGGGATAATAACAGCACCCACCTCGCAGAGTTTTTGTGAGGAGATATTTGTGAAGTGCTCAGCACGGTGCCTGGCACACAGTAGGTGCCATATAAATGTTTATTCCTCTCCCTATCCCACAACCAAGAGACTATGAGTGCTAATCTGGGGGCCCCTAAAATCTTTTGAGCAAGACATTCCCCACCCAGTAGCACAGGCATCACCTTGACTGCTACATGCTGGTTCACGCACAAGAAGTTCATGAGCACCCACTTTCTCAGAGCCCCAAATACCTACCTTGGAATGGAGAGATTCTGGAGACTCCAGCATCAGCAGCAGTTCTGAGTTGTCGATCTCCAGCAGCATGCCAGTGATCTTGCCAGCAAGAGGAGCGTGTATCCCATAAATAAGCGAGTAGAGTCTGTCACCTGCTCAAAACAGCAGGGGGGATACTGCATAGACCCAGACTGGCTGATACTGCAATGCATGCTACACCCTGCATCAGCCCTGTCTCTGCCCCCTTGTTCTTCATCTGGAAAACGGGAACAGCAGTAGCATTGTGTCTCAAGTGCTGTGAAAAACTTACCATGTAAGAATCAGCTGTTATTCCCATGCTACCCCAATTCCACAGTCCTTTTATAGAACCAGATTAGACCTGAAGCTTTGACCTTCACCTGAGAAGGGTGGCAGAACTCTTTGGAACCTCTCCTGCTAACGCAGTAACAACAATGTCTAAAGTAGTTACCGGTTATTGACATAGGGGACTTCCAGAATCAGTCTGTGTATACACTTAGAATAAAGATGAGAAGGCAATCTCCGGTAGAAGGAGTCAACTTGACCTATTTCAATAAGCTACCAACAGAAAATTTCCAACTGATAAGTAAGGCATCGACTCGGATAATCACTGTTAGACATTTACCTGGTCAAAAATAGTCACAACAACAAGGAAGCTAAGAGTCCAGAAACTTCCTTAGCCAACAAACACTTGGTTTCTTTTCCAAACAAAAAAACACAGCAGCTAGAGGATAACATGGGTTTAGAGTACAAACTCCTTTGAAGAACATTAGAGAGGAAGCTAGCGGGTGAATAGGTGCATTAGAAAACTAGCAAAAGTGAAAAATAAGGTTACCGAAAGCTAGGCTAAGGCTCAGGTGTCCCACCCCAGGCACATTTTTCAACAAAACTGTGAGGAAAACAAGTGGACGTGAAACATCTGCCAGTTTTTACTTGGTACTCTACATTCACAATTGATGAAAATGAAAGCATGACTTTTGGACCCAATCTACCACCTTAGGACCTGAGAAAAGAGCAACTAAAAGTTGGAAAGAATGTAGAACAAATCCACTTGAGAGAGAGGAAAATTTTAGTCTTAGGTTGGTTTAAATTCTTGGAGGGAAAGATTTCCTAGAGTATAAAAGGTCATAGAATGTTGTTACCAAAAGCTTAGCTACCAGAAAGCAAATCAGTATCCACCCCAAGCCATCTGTTTGTTAGCTCACTCATTCCCCCTAAGGTAAGCTTGATAAAGAGGAGGTGGGAACAGGCAAGCTTTTGCAGATGAGTCTGTTTAAAAGGGTGCATCTTCGAAGTCATGCAGTTGATTGTGAGGTGTGAAGATTATAAAATTTGGCTGTGTAAGAAAAAATTCTGTTTGGCAGATCAAAGTCCAGTTCTCCTTAAGCAAGGTTTTGACAAGATCATACAAGAACCATGGAATCTGAATTATAGGAAACCTCAGAGGCCATCTAGTCTAACCTGAAGGTGTCAACTTTTTTTGACTAGCTGGTCAGTAAGTCTTGAATCCACTTCACTAGCCCACACATTTTCAATAAAAATAGCAGTGGCTCAGTAGTAATAATCGCCATTTCTTGCAGGCCACCCATATCTGTCCTGGTATATGTAGTTCATCTGTCACAGCTAGATAGTGCAAGCAGGCCCTGGAATCAATCAGGAAGACGCAGGTTCAAATGCTGCCTCAGAAACACTGTGACCCTGGGCAAGTCATATGACTGCTTTCAGTCTCTGCTTCCCCGTTTGCAAAATGGGGGTAACATAAGGACCAACTTCATAAGAGTTATAGGAAAGACTAGATGAGATAACAAATGTAAAATACTTTACACACTTGTGCATGCCATATAAATGTTAGCTGCCATTATTTATCTGGCACTGGTGATCTGAACTAATGCAGGGCAGCTAGGCAGTCTCCTACTGTCTGCTTATTTGGGGTTTCTTTTTCAGTCCAAAATTCACTGTGTTTAGAAAACAAAAGCAAAATAAGAGCAGTTAACCCCATTTTCTATGTTGTTGGTTATCCCACTTTGTCCTCTTTTACCCCTTTCCTTCAGCATGGCTTTAAAAATCCCTTTTTGTTATCCTCAGCTTTCCTCCAAAGTCTCAGCTCACTCCAAGCTAAGCATTCTTGACATTGTTCTCATGGGGTAACACCATGGTATCCCCTCCACCATGAGCCATTGCTTCCATCAGCTTTAGTACATGCTTTTAAACACTTAACCTGGTTGATGTGTATCCATGCCTGTCTGTCCACTTTCATTAGTTCTTCTTCCTCAACAGAATTGCTTCTCTTTATCTTCTAAGTTTCATTCCTGATAGCACTCTATTGCTTCTGGGTTGTCTTTCCCTATGGAATTTTGGGCCATGGGACCTAACCTACTTGATTCTTCAAACTGTAAGGTCTAGGGTTAAAAAGACTATATCAGACTATACCTGGCTTTCTGCTTCTGCTAAGTAACCACTTTCCCTGAAGCCTTCCATCACTGTAGCTAACCGTCTGACATTTTAGAGTCTATATTACCAGTAAACAAAAACAACTAATATTCACTAGCTGTGTGACTCTGGGTAAGTCACTTAACCCCAATCGCCTCACCAAAAAATAAAGTAAAAACAGAAGGCAAGAAAAACAAAAACAACTAATAATCCTGTGAATAGCAAAGGAGACATATGCTTATCAAAAATGGGTGCTACGGTTAGGAAGGGTGTGCTGGGTCAAGTCCAAATAGAAAAAAGATTTTCTATAGATGGCAAAGTTCTTCAGATACTCATTTGTGGATAACATTGGGCAAATTACACTGAACCCAAGAACACCAGTGACTTTGCAGGGAAATTCAGTTAATCAGGAGAATGGCCTAGCTCCACTTATGAAAAAGCAAACAAATTTTTAAAAATAGCCATTGTCCAAGGGCAGCCATTGAGCTGGCTATCAGGTCATAGATCTTAGGTACCCCTTATGGATGGTGACCTGGGCTTAAAGTTCAATAAATGGAAGAAGCCGGGCCAGATCACATTTAGGAACATTAGCACTTTCCATGATCCCAAACTACCCACTGCCGCAGAAGCCCATCTTTATGATAGTATCCCAGTTATGCCATGTAGCCTTGAATCACGGAATGCCAGAATCTCAAAAGCATCAGAATTACAAATGACCTAAAAGGTAATGGAAAGGCACATGGTAGTGTCAGGGCATAGCCTGTTGCCAGCTGTGACGTATGTTTGAATAGTAGTAGTGGAAAAGACCAGGGAAGGTAACGTGAGCCAATCATGTAGTGAAGAGCAAAGCTGGAATGGCTTTACTACTGCTATCCATGAACTATTAGAACCAGAGAGGGCAGGTTCTAGATACTTCAGGAAGCTCCACAGAAAAACCAAGATAAGAGTAAGAAGAAGGCAAAGTCAGGTTACAGCCTGCACCAGTGGACGAAGTACCTGTGTTTATGAGTTCCTAAGGCTGATGAAGGCGTCTTCCTCAACAACCTTCTGAAGTAGAGTCATTTTTTTTCTTTTTGTCCTGGACCTGTGATTTCATCACTAAAGCAGGGAAGGAGCTTCCCCAAACTCCAGATGAGCAACTATTGTGTACCTTAGACTTAATAAGTGTCCAGTGGTCCTGAGAAATTAGAGTAATTCATCCCAAGTCACCCAGCCAGTATACGTCTTGGTGGGACGTGAACCCAGGGCAGCTCTCCAGCCACCATATCATGCTTGCTTCTTTGTGTTGATGTTGTTAGCCCCACTTTACACATGTGAGAACAGGAGAAGAGACTTGCTCAGTTAGTTCAGCTATTAAGTGTCTGAAACGGGACTCCAGCTTGGGTCTTCTGATGCCAAGACCAGCACTCTTCCCCACTGCGTGACAAGACAATATGACCACCCCTCCCCAGAATTCAGGGAGGCAGAAGCCAGTGATCCTGGAGTAGACAGAAGGATCCTCCCCACAAGCCCAAGGGTTAACAACTTCCTAGGTTAGAGCTAAGGAAGGTTCTCATCCATTCCCAAGCCCATCCTGGAAGGAGGCCAGAAGCTATTTAAGGAGAAGGGAGGTATGGAATGAAGACCTTTAGTAAAAAATCACAAATACTAGTTCCCATTTCCATAGCACTTTCCTTACAGCAGCCCTATGAGGTAAGCAGTGGATTCAGTCATTCAGTCAATAAACATTTATTAAGTACTTATGTACCATGTGCCAGGCACTGTACTAAGTGCTGGGGATACAAAAAAAGAGCAAAAGACAAACCTTGCTCTCAGGGAGCTCACAATCTGATTGGGGGGTAAGGGGGTAGGGATAACAAGCAAACAAATATGTACAAACAAGGTAGATATGAAGGATAAGCAGGAGATAACAGAGGGAAGACAGGATTGGGAATTAAGGCTTCCTGTTGAAGGTGAGATTTTGGTTGGGGCTTGAGGGATGCCAGGAGGTGGAGACGAGGAGGGAGAGCATTCCAGGCATGGGGGACAGCCAGAGAAAACGCCCAGAGCCAAGAGATGGAGCGTCGTGTTCATGGAACAGCCAGGAGGCCAGCATCACAGGATCAAACAGTACGTGTCGGGGAGTAAGGTTTAAGAAGACTGAAGGGGGGGGCAGGGAGTGGGGAGATAGGTTATGAAGGGCTTTGAATGCCAAATAAAGGAGTTTGGTTTTGATCCTAGAGGTGATAGGGAGTCACTGGAGGTTACTGACTGGGGGGGGGGTGGAGGTGACATGGTCAGACTTGAGCTTTAGGAAGATCGCTGGCAGCAGAATACAGGATAGATTGGTCCAGGGAGAGAATTGTGACAGGCAGACACCAGCATAAATAGCATCCCCTCTTTACAGATGAGAAAACTAAGAAAAGTGATCCGCCTAGAATCACACAATGCCCAATATTCTTTCCACTACACCAAACTGCCTCTAACGTAGCTGAGATAGTGATGGGGCACAAGGAGAAGCATCTACTGTTATAATAACTAAAAACACTGCTGGTCAAAATGCAAGTAGGAGGTACAGGAGATCTGAGCCAGAAGGGACTCTAGAGATATTATAATTCAGCTCCCTTGTTTTATAACTGAGAACCTGAGGTCTAGAGAATTAACCTGCCCAAGGCTGCCCAGGTAATAAGTAACAGAGCTAGGATTCAAATCCAAGCATTTGGTTTCTAAATCCCATAGTACTAACTTGAGTCCAGAAGCTAATGGTTTTTACACTAATATCAAGGCAAGTTTCCCACTCAGGTCCAGACCCAGGCCCAAACTGCTCCCAACACTACCAGGCAAGAGCTGTGCACATACCAAGCATCTGCTTCTGTTCCTGGGGTGGGGCTGAGGCCAACATAGATGCAGTTAAAGGCTCCTGCCCTTGGATATACACAGCTGGCTCCATTACCTGGAAATAAACCCCACACAGACGTTACTAACTACAGACTAACATCAGAACCACCTGCCTGCAAAGCCTTGCCCAGCAGAAACAAGGAGACTGGGCAAAGCTCATACTGCATGTGATGTGAAAAGACTCATGAAAGATAACCGTGTTTTCAAAATCATTCCATATACAGTGTCCCTCATTTGAAGAGAAAGAAGGACTAATAAGTAGAAACCAACCTATGTAGCTACAAAGGCAGCATGGGGTTGGGAAAAGAAGCCAGGTTCTACGCCTGGACCTCAACGACCATCGCTGAGCCTTGCAGCCTCAATTTCCTCCCCTATAAGAAGGGGAATGAGACTCGAAAACTCACTTTTAACCTGAGGTCCATGAATTTTTTAAAAAGTTAAGTATCTCTGTTCTAAAAAGGTCCTTCCTCCCCAGCTCTAACGTTTATAATTACTAGGGATACGAGGCAGTGATCGATTAGGTTAGTTTCAACATGGAAGAAATCCCTAGAAGAGGCTGACTTTTGAGCAACATTTTGAACAAAGTGGCTGAGAGAGAAAGGAAAAGAAAAACATATAAAAACATAATGGCCAAATTGCAGATGTGAAAACTGCTGTACCAAGCAAGTAAGCAACCTAGTATGCTTCTGGAAGCCTAGACTCAGACAAGTCTGAGGAGCCTGGACAAACCCTTTACCTGATGTGCATTAGGCACAGCTGAGGAGTACTTGTACTGGGCGATGGTGTGGCCTGGGGAGCCTGGACACCCAGTTCCCATAGTCTGGGTCCCAATACTGACTGTAATACATAAAGAGAAACATTAAGAATCAAAGCATCTCAGAGCTGGAAAGGACTTTCAAGCCAGCTAGTCCAGTACCTGAACAGAAATCCTTTTACAAGTTAGGTCAACAAGTATTTATGAAACACCAACTATGTACACCCCAGGCACTGGTCTAGGCCCTGGGGATACAAGGACCAAATGAGGCAGCTTCTACATTCTTGCCTCAAGTTGCTTACATTTTATAGTTTCCTGACGAGTGGTCAGTGAATGTGCACCTGCAGCCACCCACAGTGACAGGGAGTTCTCTATCTCCCAAGACAGCCTATTCTACTTTCAGCTCTGGTTAAGGTTTTCCTTACATGGACCTGGCAGCTTGTGGTGGGTATGGGGAGGAGGGTGCAGATGGGAGGAACGGCGCATTAAGAGTGAGAACTAAGGGACCACTCCATCTACCAGGAAAGCCAAGGAAAACCAAGCTCCTTCCTTCCTCGTGGAGAGACTTTTAAGTGAAGGGCAGGTACATTCTTGTTCCCAGATAAACATGAAGGACAGATGACCTGGCCCTTCTCAGTCAAAGAACACCACATTCACCTTTCGGGAAAAGTGAAACTCCTTGGTGACCTCCCTACCCTCCAAGGGGATCTATACAAGACTAGGGGGGGAGGAAGTGACAGTCCCAACTTACCCACTCTCTGCATGTGGGGCCCTGCCCGGGGCACCTGAGTAGAGGCCTGCCGGACAGTACTGACGTTGGAGATGGAGTGCCGGGGTGTGGCTGGCAAGAAAAGAACAAGCTATCAAGGCAGGCACTTTGTACTAGTCCAGAAACCAGAGATTTTTGGTAGAAGTCAGTGACGGTGAAGAGGAGATGTGAAATATCTAAGAGAAGAACCAGAGAATGGCTACACTAGGGGGTACAAATTAAAGAGGATAAAAAGGGGGTGGAGAAGAGAAGAGGTGCTGGTGGAAAAAAAGGAGTAGGGGAAACACTCACACGAAGACCTAGGAGAAAAGCTGGTCCACCCTGGGGCAGGCCGAACTGGGGCAATGCTGCTGGGACTGTAGAAGGTTGCTCTGGTAGGAGACTGTGGAGACAATGAGCACAAACCACAGGATCACAGAACTCACAACTAGACTTTAGAGATCATCTAAGTCCCCTGCCCCAGCCTACATTTATTTTATAGGAGAGGAAACAGAATGAGAAGTTAATCAACTTGACCAAGGTCACATAACTAATAAATGGCAGACCTGGAATTTGAACCCAGGTCTTGAGTCCAACCAAACCCAGTGCTCTTTCTACCATACTGCTTTGCCTCTTGGTGAGCCCAGGGGCCATGACACACAACAGGAGTTGGGACAGGGATTCCCTTGGAGCAAGGGGGCCAGAAACAAGTGGTGAGAGGCCAGGAAAGGCTAGAAGCTCCGGGAAGGTAGGAGCCCCTGGAAGCAGAACTGCAGGTTATCCTCACAAAAGTAAAGTATCCCGAAGAGTACAAACTACGCAAATCCCCATCTCTTCTTCCTCCTAAACCTCTTGGTTAAGTAGGCAAATAGGTGACTTAGTCTACTTTTGCCTCCTAGCACAGGAAGAGGCCTGCACCCACCTGTCTGCTTATTTCACAGGGTGTTAAAATGAGACAGGTGGCTCAGCTGCCCGCATACCCCACGTATCACTCTAAAGTCAGAGACGACTGAGAAATAAACGGACCATACCCTCTTAAAGTTTGGCTTAAACACCATGATATAGGGTCACACCATCTTAACAGTGGGCCAGAAAGGAAATAACACTACACCAAGAAGAAACCCGGGTTCTCATTCTGACCTGGCTCTGACAATAAACTGCTACATGACCCTGGCCATTTTTTTTTTTAAATTTTGGACCTCAGCTTCCTCACTAGATCATCTTTAAGGTCTTTTCCAGCCCTGATATTTTATGTTCTAAGGTCCCTTCCATGTCTAGAGGTAGAGAGCCCAGGGGGAAACAGTGAGTTCGTGGGGACAAAAGGAATATATGACCACAGTCCCTTGGGAAGGATAAATACCTGAAAGATTGCGGTCACCTGGGGGATGGCAGGCAGGAAATAATTGGTGGGTTGGGGAAAGATGGGGCCATTTATGTTTCGGAGGACGGAGATGCGTTGCATGTACTGATTGGTGAGGATGGCCTTCCGCTCTTCCTTGCGTTGGGCCAGGGCTACATAGAGGGGCTTGGTGCTGACAATCCGTCCATTCATCTCCGTCACGGCCTTTGTAGCCTCTTCTGGGGAGGAAAAACACACAAAGCCAAACCCCTTGCTGTGGCCACCCTCTGTCATCACCTAGAAGCAAGACAAGACAAGGTCTACTATGGGTATGTCGAAGGGACGATGGATCCCAGGCCACGCTTCCCTCCGCCCTCAGGTTCATCACATCAGCCAATAAGGTTTTCCTAAAAAGCTATCACGGACAAGGCTTTGGGCTGGGCACTGAGGGGAAGTCATATAAAGTCTGATCCCTTGCCCCCAAGGAGCTAGCTAAGGAGACACACATGCAAAATTAACTCAATCCCAGGCTGACTTTGCTCAGTGCTCCCCAAATGGCCTGAGAACCAAGGCTGAAGGAACTCAGGGTAGAAAGAAAAGATAAGCATGGGCTGGAGTGATGCTGTGGCCCACAAGAGACCCCTCAAGCCCCACACCTGGCTCTGTACATGAGTCCTCAGGGACTCATGCCTTCTCTTCTCACAAATGTGGGCATCAGATAAACCAATGTTTACCTATATCTTAGCATGCCATGGTCTGTAAGTCTTGCCTCAGACTCAAAGAATGTTAGCTGGCAGTAGCCATAGAGTCTGATAACCTAGGTTAACTCCCTCATTTTATAGGGGGAAACTTAGGCACAGAGAATTTAAATGACTTCTCCAAAATCACACATATTAAATAATAGAGCTGAGATTAGATCTTAGGTCTCCTGACTCCCATTCTAGGATTCAAATGAAGGATTCAAATGAAGCCTTTTTAAAAAATAGCTTCAACCTTTCCTTATCAAAAAGATTGGAAATGACTATTCTAGAGTTATGTGAATTAACCTCTCATTTAATCTGGTTCCATCCCCTCTGCTTCTAATGCCTATGTCAATACCACGGATTATCAGTGTCAAACTCTGATAGAAACAGGGGCCACTAATCTGTACAGAAGGACCATTATGGGTCCCATACTAACCTAGTTTTAAAATGTAATGTTATCTATGTTTTATCCTATTTTTACTTTGTTAACTGTTTCCCAGTTACATTTTTATCTGGTTCAGACCACAGAGTGTTGTGAGCTATGCTTTCATGCCCATTATTTCATCTGATCCTCACAACAGTCCTCAGAAGTTGGTATGGATCATTCACCTTCTGTAAAATGGGGATGTGACTTGCCTTAGGTCATAAAACCAGTGAGAGTCGGGAAGACAACCCCAGGTAGATCTACATTGAGGGTCTTTCCAATTATATCACACTGCCTCTTTGTTTAAGTGAATTTGTATCCATTCTGGTTTCAAAATTCTTATACTAATCTCATTTTAGCTACAGCTATAATGACAGGCAACATGGTGGTGTAAAGAGCCCCAGGACTGGGAATCAGGACAGCTGGGTTCTAGTCTTGGCTTTTTCACTAACTAAGCAGTCATTTACCCTGTCTGGGCCTATTTCCTCAGATATAAGACACCACCAAGTCCCATGACACTCTGGCTCTAACATTCTGTGAATCTCCTATGAGCTCCATGAAGGCACAGGCCTTGTCCTTTCCTTCTCTAAATTCCCTACAACATCTAGCACAGAGCTGAGGGTGTAGGAGGCTCTGCTTACATAACTGGTAACAGCCTGAGAGAGTTGAAGACACCCTGGGAAATCAACCTGACCTCCTAAGAGAAGGGGCTGTTTCTACTCTGTAGTCTTAAAATATTCCTTTGGAATTAGAATGTCACCTCTCACCCCACGAAGACCCCTCTCCCCCTCACTCCCCACAAAAAGTGGGAATGTTTCTTTCCAAGCTATCTACATCTCTAGCCTGGTCCCCTCAATACACAGATAGGCTTTACTTTAAGCAAACATTACATAATAACCCAGGACCCCACTTCTATGGTCGGCTAGCCAGGTTTGGGGGCCTGAGGCCACATGAGATCAGACCCACTTTAGGTTAGCCAAATTAATTATAGGACTGACCAGAAATCAGGCTCATTGCAATGTAGATTATTCCCTCTTTAGGGCAAGGACTATGCATTTCCCTTCTACTATACCTAGTACAATATTTATGGATGGATATGACCTTCATAGGGTATAAGCCACAGTCCTGAACCAGGCTATTTCTGCCTCAAATCCCCAAATTATCCCCACCCTCAATTTGGAAGCGGAGGGAATGGTAGCCTCATCTCCCCACTGCACCCCAGTCCCATGGCCTAAGATCGCCCTTACTTTGGCACTGGTGATCACTCCGTAAGGAGAGAATTCCTTCCGCAGCTTCTCATCATCAATGACATCATCCAGATTCTTCACATACAGGTTTACACCCTGGAAAAGTGAGGACAGGGACTTTAAGAAAGAGCGTAACAGCCACCAGCTCCCCTCCCTCCACCTCTATCCCTCAGCTTCCTAAAGAAAGTAATTTGGCTACATTTTTTCCATCCTCCCCAATACTATACTTTCTCCCTCCTTGGCCTGCCCAATGCATAGCACTGCAGATGCCTGACAATGAAAATGTTCAAGTTCAGAGTTATGGCATTGTGTCCAGAAGACACCTGCTAAAAATTTAAATTTCTTGTTGGCAACTCTTCAACCAGTCACTGCCAATAAGCGTATGACTGTTGTCCAGCTAAGGGGAACAAGAAACACAGATAAGCCTGGATGGGAAAGTACAATGGAAAGAAAAGTGGATCTGCAACTAGAAAACCAGGGTTCAAATTCTGCTTCTACAAACTTCTGAGCAGAAGGATAATTGCTACACCTTCTAACTCACATGGTAGTTGTGAGAAAAATCCTTTATAAATTGTTAAAATTCTCAGAAACTTCCAGCTACAATGAAGCAGGGGAGGGCCCAGGAGACACCTGGGAGGAAAAGCAGCAGAGGCAAAGAAATGCTAGAGATTCCATGATTTTGCTTCCTGTTGAGATCCAAACCCACTCCCCAACCCCCAATATGTATTCAGTGCCACTGAGAGGAGAGGAGAGATCTCAACCCATCTTTTTTCAGGCTGGGCCAACTCACTCTATAACCTAATCTGGAGAGAGAAACCAAGGCAGGTGTAGAGTGGGCAGGTTTGGGGGGGGGGCTGATGGAGGGAGGGGTTGGGATTTCTGAACATCTGGTGGGTAGATCTGTGCATCTATCAGAACCAGATGTGCCACGGAAAGAGTCCCTGCTTGAGCCCTTGGGCTCCTGTACCACCAGGAAAAAGGCGGGTCCCTCTCTTAGGGATCACAGGATCAGATGGAAGCAATCTTAGAAATCATAGAATCCAAATCCTCTCATTTTGCAGAGTAGAAAACTGAGGCCCAGAGATAATGGTCTGTCCAGATCCAGAGCCCCTGACTCCTTATCTACAGTTCTCCTGCCACCTACTACACACTCAGGCAGACCACACACTGGGCTGCTTTGGAGAATGGGCAAAAGGCAGAGGTACAACTCAATGATCTGTGGCCTCATCAGTGTGGGTGGGGTATTCTCTCCCCAATGGCACAAAATGTGACCTAGCCATACCATGCCATGTGTTCTCCACAAAGGGGGAACCTGACAAGCTGGATGGAGGCTTTCTTCCAGTTACTTATTTTAACGTTACATTTGCACAATGTAGCTCCTGAATGGACCATCGGGTAAATCTCAACCTCACCACATGACTGGTTCATCTTGCATTTCCTAAAAGAAAGATCTTCTGTCACTTCTTGTGCCCAAGTCATTGCTGGAAACATGCCAAAGGCTATTTATGCCCACTGTGCATTTCTCTGTGGCCCTCTGGGTCATCTAAAATTTTAATTTTGGGGAGGGGAAAGACTGGTGGTCCATGATTTGCAGCCATATATCATCCATCACCAAGAGAATATTAGTGTTTAAAAAAAAAGTTTTTGTTTGAGGTAACTTGGGATCTTTGGAAGCATTACACAATTCTCAAACTAAAATACTCACTACTCTTACTGTTCCTCTCTGAATCCAGCTCACCCCTCAACTACACAGCCTATCTATGACATAGCATGATGGGACCAATTCAACAGTCTTCATTCAGACAGTAGGCCTTCTACATCCATTTGGTTTTTTTCATGCAAAGGGCTCACGGATCTCATGAAGGAGGCCCTGTGGTATTCTGGGCTTGAGGTAAGCAGATCAATGTCATCTGTAAATAGGAGCATGTGGAAGATCTCACCATTTCCATGGAAGCCTTTTTCCATTTGGCCAATTCCCTGGACAGTCTCCATGATAATGCTTCACATTTGTTTTATGCTTTGCTGGTCAGCAAACAGAGCATTCTCTCTCTCTGTGTTTGCAGAGATTATAGAATGTTTTATCACCTTACTGAAGGATAGCTTTTGGGGCTACTTTGTTTAACTGAATGAAATACTTTTTTGTAACCAAACACACCATTCTCTTATATTTTAGCCAACTGTTTGACTAAAGATGTAACCCGCTACAGAAAAGTGTCTGCACAGAATCAGGAGAACATTGTACACAGTAATAGCATTGTGTGATGATCAACTATGATACACTTGACTCTTCTCAATAATACGATGATCTAAAACAACTCCAAAAGACTCATGATGGAAAATGCTATCCTCCTCCAGAGAAAGAACTATGGAGTCTGAATGCAGATACAAGCATGCTATTTTCATTTTTGTTTCTTGTTTTTTCTTTCTTGTGGGTTTTTTTTTGTTTCCTTAATAGTACTTTTCCCCCCAATTACATGTGAAGATAGTTTTCAACATTCATTTTGTAAATTTGTTTCAAATTTTCCTCCCTCCTTCCCTCCCCAAGACAGCAAGCAATCTGATATAGTTTATACATGTACAATCATGTTAAACATATTTCCACATTAGTCATGTTGTGAAAGAAGAATCAGAACAAAAGGGGAAAACCATGAGAAAGAAAAAAAAGTGAAAATAGTGTGCTTTGATCTGCATTCAGACTGCATAGTTCTTTCTCTGGATGTGTTTAGCATTTTCCATCATGAGACTTTTGGAATTGTCTTGGATCATCATATCGCTGAGAAGAGCTAAGTCTGCCATAGCTGATCATCACACAATGTTGCTATTGCTGTGTACAATGTTCTCTTGGTTCTACTCGCTTCACTCAGTATTATTTTATGTAAATCTTTCCAGGTTTTTTCTGAAGTCAGCCTGTTCATTATTTCTTACAGCACAACAGCATTCCATTATATTCATATATCACAGCTTGTTCAGTTATTCTCTGGGTGATGGACATCCCCTCAATTTCCAATTCTTGGCCACTACAAAAAGAGCTGTTATAAATATTTTTGTACATGTGGGTCCTTTTCCCTTTTTTATGATCTCTTTGGGATACAGACTGAGTGGTGATATTACTGGATCAAAAGATATGCAGTTTGGTTGCCCTTTGGGCATAATAGCAAATTGTGCTCCAGAATGGCTAGATCAGTTCACAACTCCACCAATAATGCATTAGTGTCCCAATTTTCCCACATCACCAACATTTATCATTTTCCTTTTTGTCATGTTCGCCGATCTGAGAGGTGTGATGTGGTACCTTAGAGTTGTTTTAATTTGCATTTCTCTAATCAACAGTGATTTAGAACATTTTTTCATATGACCATAGATAGCTGAAAACTATCATCTGAAAACTGCCTGTTCACATCCTTTGACCATTTATCAATTGGGGAATGACTTGTATTCTCATAAATTTGACTCAATTCTTTACATATTTTAGTAATGAGGCCTTTCTCAGAAACACTGATTATAAAAATTGTTTCCCAGCTTTCTGCTTTCTTTCTAATCTTAACTGAAATTTGCTTTGTTTGTACAAAATCTGTTCTCTATCTCTTGTTTTGTCATAAATTCTTCCCTTCTCCATAGGTCTAACAGGTTAACTATACCTTGTTCTCCTAATTTGCTTGTGATTATTATTCCTTATGTCTAAATCATGTACCCATTTCAACCATATCTTGGTATTGGGGTTTTTTCCCTTTTGTTCTGATTGTTCATGACTAATGAACAACACAACTAATATGGAAATATGTATAACATGATTGTACATGTAAAACCTCTATCAGATTGCTTGCTGTCTTGGGGAGGGAGGAGGGAAGAGATGGAGGGAGAAAAATTTGGAACTCAAAATCTTACAAAAGTGAATGTTGAAAACTATGTTTACATGTAATTGGAAAAAATAAAATATTATTAAGTGGGGGGAAAAATGTCTGCAAAAGTTGGTCCCTCCCCAGTCCATGTTTTTTTCCAGAGTACCCTAAAGATACATGCAGGTGACATTGTATAGAGTGCTGAATGTGGCATCAAGGAAGTCTGGGTTCTGATCCTACTTGACTTAGTAGTTCTGTGACTATAGCCAACTCATTTAACCTCTCCTAATCTATCTTCTCATCTGTAAAATGAAGGTAACACTTGTAAGGCCACCTACTTCATGATGTTATTAAGAGGTTCAAATGAAATGTGCATACATCTTACAAACCATAAAGTACCATATAAAAATATCTATGCTCAGAGACAGAGATCAACAAAGTAAGTATATGGGTAAGGCACTTACTGATGTTTGTTCCACCACTTTCTGGGTAGATCTTATGCTTCTCCTTACCCCAAACATTCCCTATCTTCCCTTCCTTCAGATATTTTGAAAGCTGATCTCTCAAAGTTTTCAAAATCATCTCCAGCATGGATTTTTTTGCATGTACTTGGTCTAGACACTCTTCCTGAATTTGTCCTTTTAGTCACCTATGCTTCTTCATATTGAGGAGTTGAAATGTATTGGTTCCATTGTTACTGACCAAAATATGGTCACTGATATGCTGGCAGGGCTCTATCTGTTTTTGTCTATCTGTTGTCTTCCTTTCAGTTTTCACTGGAATACTTTAGGGATAGCTTGGCTCAGTTGCTATGCCTTCTGCAGACAAGTATCTCCTTCCCACATTGCTCTTGGCTAATTTGTGAGGAGATATTAAGCATTATTTTCCAGCAAACTAATCTTTTTATTTTTTATTCTTTTATTTTTAGGCAATTGGGGTTAAGTGACTTGCCCAAGTACACACAGCTAGCAAATGTCAAGTGTTTGGTCTGAGGCCGGATTTGAACTCAGGACCTCCTGACTTCAGGGCCGGTACTCTATCCACTGCATCACCTAGCTGCCCCTCAGCAAACTAATCTTACCAAATTTTGTGGATGAATTCCTAAATTTCTTTTGTTCTTGGCCACCATGTCTTTCTGCCAGGCAAAAAGATATGGTCTTTGTTGGCTAAGGTCTGGGTTTCTGGGTGCTTCTTGGTATCCTTGGGGGAATTGTTGATACTCTTATAACATGTCAGAGTCTTAAAGGAAACAGCGATTATCAAAGTCCATGTCTTCTCCTTCATCCATTTCCCATTTCAGAAAATCAGCAGGCCAGGCTGAAGCTGTTATAACTTCGTGCTGCAGTTTTTCTAATTAGGTACTGATTTTGACCTTTGTAGGTAATGATATGATTGCATTAAGACAACTGATTCTAAGATGACTCCCATAAAAGCTAACTAGTTATTTCTTTTTATGATATAGTTCATTTCTCTCTCTTTTTTAATACTCTTTGATGCTCACCACATTGAGTTTCTTCTCGAAGAAATTATTCAAGATATGATAAGTATGAGACTTTCAAGCCATCCAGAACTGATCCATTTCTATTCTCCTATTCACAGGACTACCATGCTAGCTCAGGCCCTAATTATCTAGACCCTTGAAATATCTCCTAAATGGTCTCCCTACACCCCTTCAGTCCCTTACTTCACCAATCTACCCTCCACATAGCTGCCCAGGTCTGATCATGTCATTCCCTTCAAAAGGCTTCAGTGGCTCCCCACTGCCATTATACATGTAATATATATGTCGAAAATAGAAACTGCCGTTTGGCTTTTAAACCTCTTCATAACACGGCCTCAGCCATAAGCTATTCAGGTGCATTACTCACACTTCCATACTCTGCATTTCAACCAGACTGGCCTGCTTTGCTATTCCCTGGCCCATGACACCACTACCATCTTTACGCTCTGTGTACTGCTCCTTCTTGAAACCTCTCACTCCCTTCAAGGCTCAGCCCAGTCCATCCTTATCCAAGGAAAGGTGCCTTTCCTCATTCCCTTCCCCCACACTGTGCAATTATTTACTTTGTATGTATTTCCTTATCTGTGAATGTATTCCCCTCCCAGTAAAAATCTAAGCTCCCTGAGGGCAAAAATTGTTTCCCGTGCATAAAACTGGTGCCTAATAAATTGCTTGTGGATGGGTTATAAGTCTTTGGCTCCTTTAATTTTTCAACCCCCAACCGTTTTTTCCAACATTATCTTCACGGATAATCTTGTTCATTAAGAGTCAGCGAAGGGGCAGCTAGGTGGTGCAGTGGATAGAGCACCGGCCCTGGATTCAGGAGGACCTGAGTTCAAATCCAACCTCAGACACATAACACTTACTAGCTGTGTGACCCTGGGCAAATCACTTAACCCCACTGCCTACCCAAAAAATAAAAAAAAGGAAAAAAAATTTAAAAAAGAGTCAGTGAGATGGCACAGAAGATAGAGGGCTACACTTGGGAGTCAGGAAGACCCGAGTTCAAATCTAGCCTCAGAAACTTACTAGCTCTGTAACCCTGGGTAAGTCATTTTATTTCTCCTACTGCCCTGCCAGGCCTGCTTTCAGTACTCCACTATAGTTTCCAAGTCCTCTACCTACAATTACAATATTCACCCAACCACCAACCCATTGCATCTACACCGAGAAGGAAGAGGCTGATTTCACCAACTATACATTTCTTGGGTTGGGTCTCCCAGGCCAAGGTACACCCTGTCCAAATAGCTCAAGTTATCCTTTCCACAAATCTTTCTTAGTCATTTTTGGTTAAGTCCTCTCCTTTGCGCAGTTTCTCCTTACCTGGTAGCGGTTCACTCTCTCCTGCTTCATCTGCTCAAATCTACGCTTCAACTCCCCCTGCCTCTCTGTCCTCTTCTGGGCCCGTCCGACATACAGGACTCGACCTCCGAGCTCCTTCCCATTCATGCTACTCACAGCCTTCGGAAGAAAAAGTGGTCAGTATCTAGAAACTGGACAGGGCCATAGCAACACCTTCTCCCCATGTCCCTGCTTAAATCCCTCCCAGAAAGAGGGAGGCAAGAGCATATCCACCTTGGTTTCCATATTACTTCCATTCTTTTTTGGTTAGGCAATGGGGTTAAATGACTTGGCCAGGGTCACACAGCTAGCAAGTGTTATGTGTCTGAGGATGAATTTGAACTCAGGTCCTCCTGAATCCAGGGCCGGCGCTCTATCCACTGTGCCACCTAGCTGCCCCGGTTTCCATATTACTAGGGAAGCAGCTATGGCACAGTAAAAAGAATACGAGACAAGAAGTTGGGAGACCTAGATTCTAGTCCCAGATTAGTCATTTTCAATTTCCAAGTATCCCTTCCCTCCTTGTAAAAAATCCCTGTGAGAGGCCACAGGACACTGTAGGTAGGGGGAACAGGCCTGTAAGTCAGGAAGACTTGCATAACTACGACCAAGTTACTTGACTTCAAGGCCTCCAGGAGACCCGCTAGAGCCCTAATCTGCAGGTAAATTTGTAGGCTCAGAGTGACAGTCAAAGGAACACCTCAAAGGCCATTTAGTTCAACCCTCTCATTTTACAGAAGAGGAAACTGAGGTATACAGGATGAAGAGACCTGACCCAGCTCACACTGCTGAGTAAACAGAGGTGGGATTTGAATCCAGATCTTGGGATTTCAGTGCTTTTTCCACTGTCCCATACTTGGAGGACATTTTCACACTGAGAATGACAGGATTGGCCCTCCTCCAAAAACAAAATGGTCCCTTTCCAGCTCTGCCATTCGAGGTTCTAAAGTGCTACGCATCTGATATTCCAACAGTCTACGGAAGCCAAGGTAGAGGATATGGAATATGGGGGGAGACAGACCCTTAGGCTATATCAGTTGTCATGATGTTATATAAGTCCAGCATCTCTCAAAAGGAAATGCAGGCTAAGCATCCAATACTTGGATCTTCCAGACCTCATCAGCAGGGGCCCCCACTGGGGAGCCAATGCAAGGAAGGGAGCTCCTTACCTTCTGAGCTTCTTCATGCTTCTCAAAGTTGACAAAACCAAAGCCTCGAGAATGGCCATTTTCATCAACCATCACCTTCACACTTAGAGTCTTTCCTGCGAATAAGTAACAGGGGGTCAGGCTCCATGGGCTGGGAGAGCCCAGAGACCTCCCGCCTGTCCAGCCAGTCCCTAGCTCTTACCAAATCGGGAGAAGAGTTCCTGAAGGCACAGTTCATCCACATCTTCTTTGAAGTTCTTGATGTAGACGTTGGTGAATTCTAGTGCTCGTGCCCCCAACTCTGCCTCCCGTTCCTGCCGGGACTTGAAGTGGCCCACGAAACTGCAAAGGGAGAGTTCTCAAAGTCAGCCTCACCCTGGCCACAAGTCCAGACCTAGGTAATTCTTCCCCATCTTTCAAGGCTCCTCCTTCAGAACACCTTCTCTGACTCCCCCCCAGCTCTGCCTCACACTCCCATAGCTTTCAAAGTTGCAGGAGAGGCAGGCAGGAAGGAACCAGGATTGGCCCTCCTTTCCCTAACACCCCTTACTCCTCTTTGGCCAATTTCCTGCTAAAAGGTCGTCTGTCCCATGGGACACAAGGATCCAGGGGCTTCCTCTGCATGGAATCCACAGGGGTTAGAGACAAATTCAATGAACTCTTAAAACACCTGGTACGCCCTTCCTCATTCCCCTCACCCCCATTATTCCCTATCTTTTAAGGCTCAGCCAAAATACCACTTCTTCCATAAAGCCTTATCTAATTTCCTCAGCCAGAAGGGTCCACTCCACTGATATGGTCTCTCAAGAGCCAACTATTAAAATGTTCAGTTTACATCTTAGAAATCAGTAAATACCACAGATCAGGGCTTGATTTATTGTTTTGCTCATCGTCCAGACTTAAGAAAGCAAAGAAATATTTGGTAATAATGCAGATTAAAGTGTATCAAGTTTACATTTCCTTCTTTCTCTTTGGAGAGCTGGATGTTAAACTTTTACCAGCACAAGCCTCATCCATCCCCTTCCCCCCCCCCCACCCCCCCACACACTGTGCTATCACTAACCTTTCACATCACTGCTTTTATACATCCTTTACCTTCCCACTGACCAGGTTACTTAGGCAGGGACAATGATACAGTAGAAAGAGCCTTGGTTTTGGAGTCAGGAGACCTGGGTTCAAAAGCTAGTTCTGATACCTCCTCTCCAAGCTTTAGTTTTCTCATCTGTAATATTGGGACTAATACATATCTACTCTCATAGTCTAATTATGAAGAAAATGCTTTATAAACTAAACCTTAAAATCTGTCAATCAACTAGTATTTTTTAAGGGCCCACTCTATACCAGGTAGCTAGGTGGTTCAGTGGATAAAGAGCTGGGCCTGGAGTCAGAAGACCTAAGTTTAAATCTGGCCTGTGGGACTCTGGACAAGTCACTTAACCCTGTCTGCCTCAGTTTCCTCATCTATAAAATGATCTTTAAAAAGAAATGGTAAACCACACCAGTATCTTTGCCTAGAAAACCCCAAATGGGGTCAGAAAGAATCTGAAAAAAAAAAAAACAGAACAAAAAACAAAAACAGTGGACGACAAAAAAAAAAAAAAGGAAGAAACAAATAGTCCCTGCCCTCAGGAAGTTTTAATCTAATGAAAGAGAAAACATACAAACATTGTACTAAGAGGATATATACAGGGTAATGGAGATAATCACAGAGGGACAGCATTAAGATTAATTAAGGCTATCAGAGATAGGTTTCTTTTGGCAGTGATGACTTTAGCTGAGACTTCAAGGAAGCCCAGAAAGCCAGGAGGAGGAAATGAGGGAGAGTGTTCCAGGCACAGGGCACAGCCAGGGAAAATGCCCCAAGTTGGGAAATAGAGTCGTGCATGAAAAACCAGACCAGGTTATAGGAGGGCTTTAAAAACCAGAGTATTTTGTATTCGATCCTGGAGGTAACAGGGAGTCACTGAAAATAAGTGAAAAGGAGAAGAGGTAAGATGGTCAGACTTGCACTTTAGGGAGATCAGTATGACGGCTGAATAGAAGACAGACTGGACAGGAGAGAGACTTGAGGCAGCAAAACCCACCAGGAGTCTAGGTGTGTAAGAGTCCAGGCATGAGGCACTAAGGGCCTGGACCAGGACCGTGTCAGTGGTGGAGGAGAGAAGGGATCAGCAAGGGAGAGATGTTACGAAGGTAGAAATGACAGGACTTGGCAATCATCTGGACAAGGAGAGCGGAGCAAGACTGAGTAGTTAAGGATGACATCTAGATTTCAAGCCAAGGTGACTGGGATGGTGGTACCCTTGACACTAACAGGCAATTTAGGAAGAAGGGAGGTTTGGGGAAAAAGAGATTATCCTAGAAATGTGAACCCTCACATAGGTCAGAGGAAGGTCTTAGTCTCAATCTCACCCTCAAACCCCCCAGAGTCTCTTTGTTTCATAGGCAATGGGGAGAGGACCCTCTGTAACTGGAGACTCCATGCCTTGGCCATGGTGTGCCCATCTCCCTTCAATATCCAAGCTTGGCTCCATGGCAAGAAACTGAAACCGGAAATCCTAGGATAGATACAGGTTCCAATCCCAGCTTTTTCCTCAATACCCCCAGCACTGTCACCTTCCCCCAAGGGCTACTTACACTTTCCGGTCATTAAGCAGCATCCCATTCATAGTGTTGATTGCTTGATTTGCAGCCTCCTCTGTCTCAAAGTGGACGAAGCCAAATCCCCGGGAGCCATTTTCATCACACACCACCTGCCACAGGGAGAGGGGGTGGTAAAGGTGGGGATGGAAGGAAGGAAACTCAGCCCAAAGCATTACCACCACCCACAGGCCACCCACAGTATAACCTGACTCATCTATCCCTTTCTCTTTCCATCTCCACTCCTCTACCCTAAATCCAGTTTGGTAGCAGAAGTCATTCCTGAATTAGGAGTCCGACTCATAATCTCATTCTGGCTTTACTGCTGGCTTGTATAATTCTGATTAAAGCCATCTACCCTCCGAGCCTCAGTTTCTTCATCTAACTGTATAACAGGGGGTATTGCAGGGAACAAGTGAAACGATGGATGCAAGAGTGCTTTGGGATGCTACAGAAATGTGGTATCATTCAGTTTTTTCTACAATGGTCATCTAGCCAGTCTCCTTTCTCTATGCCCCTGACCAGTCAACAAACATTTATTAAGTTCTCACTATGTGACAGGCACTGTACTAAGCATTATTTGGAAATACAAAGAAAGGCAAAAACAGGCCCTGTTGGACAGGGCAATGGGAAGTCACTGCAGCTTTTAGAGCTGGATAGTTAAGGGATAAAAGCAGGACTTCAGGAAAATTAAGTGCCTCCTTATGGGCTTGACCTCACTGCTGATCCACAGAAGCTCTGACCCATACCCTTTCTGACCTGGGCCAATTTGCCCAAGTCAGCCTGGACTTCCTTAGTCAGAACAGCCCCGTAGTCAGGGACCCCTCCATATTGATGCCAAACTTAATGTAGATACCTGGAAGACTCTAATCTTACTGCAATTTAGAACTCCCACACTCCAACAATCCACTAACCCCAACCTCCCCTTAAACGGACTACAGGTTGAGAGACCACACCTGGAAGAGTTTAGACTAATGAGGGAGACACTATGTAAATAGCCAGGTAAGTAGAAGATAGGACACAGCTAAGATAAAAGGTGATCTCATAGGGCAGGGGTAGGGAACCTGCAGCCTCTGAGGCCACATGTGGCCTTCTGGGTCCTCAGGGGCAGCCTTTTGACCTAGTCCAAGTTTTACAGAACAAATCCTTTTATGAAGGGGATTTGTTCTGTGAAGTGTGGATTCAGTCAAAGGGCCACACTTTGATTCAGTCAAAGACCTATAAGGCTACATGTGGCCTCCAGGCTGCAGGTTCCCCACCCATCACAGGGAAATGGATTAGCAACTGAGGGAGCTGGGGAATGCTTCCTGCATAAGGTAGGATTTGAGCTCCAGATATCACCCAATGAATTTCTGAGTTAACACTTTTATCCCATAACTATCCTACTCTGAAATCTGCAGTGACTTCACATTGCCCATAGGATAAAGGCCAATTCTTCAGCATTCCTGTTCATGTGGCCCTTAACACATGACTTCACATTACTCTTTGTATTTTAACCTGTGTAGGTGTTTTCCACCTCGACCAGGACAAGGAAAGTGCCTTCCACAGTGCACAACAGATAGCACTGGGCATAGAGGAAGGACTTTTTCAATGAGTTCTTCATTCCTTCAAAGTGCAAAGATAACCCTCTTTCAATGGATCTCTTATTTCAGTGATATTTATTGAGGCTTTTCAGCTATGCCAGCTCAAACCCATCCACATTTTCCCCCATCAAAGATCTACCCAACACACGGAAGGCTTTCTTCTAAGTGTTTTACCATTACACAGGCACTAGGCCATCATCCCATCTATTAATCCTCACCCTCAGAAAATGATTGGTCCACATCCTTTTCTGGTCACGTATTTTCTAAACATCTCCTGTGACACTTTTTTGCCCCTGGCTATCTAATATTCTACACCAGGTGAGCTATTCAGGCACTTCAGAGACAAGGAGAGGCTGAAGATAAGTGAGACAGCAGAGATGACAGAAGGGGCAATATGCTGAAGGAGATGGGATGGAAAGGGCTCGCTTATGTATGTAGAGGGGTCACCTAATATCCGAGGCTGGATCTGAACTTGGGTCTTCCGGACTCCAAGCCTAACACTCTACATTGTACCACTTATGTGCTAACTCGGAAAATTATTTGACGAATTTGATGGGTTTCTCCAAGTCAACATATATGCTGTTACTCTAACTTCAAAGCAAAGCCAAGCTTTTTCAGGGAGACCAGTAACAAATGTTGTCAAACATGATTTGGGATTAAGAAATAAGATCTGCCTAACATCTGTAGCTTTTCATTTATTTATCATGAATTCTTTCCAGAAGAGTCAGAAGGGACTGGACATGGCAAACATTACATGGAGCCAAGTGGTATTTTGACAGGTTACCACAGAGTAACCCATGTGAAGGCCTTTTCTACATCAGCCGTGTACACTAATTTTTTGGAAGAGAAGCCAGAATCTATGCCAAAAATAAAAGAAAGAATAAACATGAGAAAATACAGTAAGCAAATTACAGTAGTTCCAACCTGACCTGCTTAGCTACTGATGCTAAAATACAGGAAAAGAAATAGTCCTCATTGATCCTCCAGAAGGTTGACCAGTATATAGCAAAGAAGGCCAAAAGAGCCCAGAAATGACCTCAGTCCATACCTGACCTCCTTGTCAAGCAGAGAGACAGGGCAACCAAGAATAGCATTGGCTTGGAAATAAACTCACTTAGGGGCAGCTAAGGTGGAGCAGTAGATAGAACATCGGCCCTGGAGTCAGTAGGAACCAAGTTCAAATCTGACCTCAGACCAAACACTTGACACTAGCTGTGTGACCCTGGGCAAGTCACTTAACCCCAATTGCCTAAAAAACAAAACAAACAAAAAAAGGAAATAAACTCACTTACAAAATTTTAAGGAGAAAGACTGATGTTTACAGCTTTATATTTACTGTCTTAACAGTAAATAGCAGTGCAAGGGAAAATAAATCTATGGAAATCTGGGACCTTGCAATTAAGCTGAATCACCCCAAGAGAATAACAATAAAAGTGGAAAGACAACAAGCAGAAGAAAAAAAAACAAATGGACCAGATCTGTCATTTGCTATTACTATTTTTTTAAAATCAGTATCACTTTTAGTATTCTCCCCTTCTTTACACTAACAGCCACCAGGTTGTCATCACCTCTCAAACGGACCAATGCAACGGCCCCCAATGTCTCCCTGTCTCCAGTCCCTCTCTCCTCTCCTCTGCACAGCTGCCAAACTGGTTATTCTTCAAGAACAGGTCTAACCTTCTCACGAAGATCTAGCTCCCTCTAGCCTCCAGTGTCAAATGTAAACTCCTTCAAACTAGTTCCAGTCTACCTTTTCAGGTCAGAGGGAGTCTCTGACTGTGGGAAAAGTTTGAAGGATCTGGGTTCAAATTCTGGCTCTGCTACTTACCACCTACAGTAGGCTTAACCTCACCAAACCTTAGTTTCCTTCTCTTACAGATAAAAAGATGAGGGGAAGGGGAAGGAGAAGAAACAAGCATTTATTTAAAATGCCTACTATGTGTTAGGTACTGGACTAAGTGCTTTACAAGCATTATCTCATTTGATCCTCACAACACTGGCAGATAGGTGCTACTCTCACCCCCATTTTTCAAATGAGGAAATTAAGGCAAACAGAAATTAAGTGACTTGCCCAAGGTGACACAGCTAGTAGATGCCTGAGGCTGGATCTGAACTCAGCTCTTCCTGACTCCAGGCCCTGCCCTCTTATGTACTATGCCACCTAGCTTGGTTGGAATAGATAACCTCTAAGGTTCCTCCCAGCTTTGAATTCATGATCTCATGATTCTAGCTCCCCTGGACTACTTGGTAGATATACATGACATTCTATCCCCCATCCCTAATTCGTCTAAACAAGCACACATGTGTTCTCTCTCACATACTCATACCCTCAAGGAACTTACATTCTACTGTGTATGTGTGTGTATACACACACTTACATGTGTGTAATATGACATATAGGTTTATACAATGTACATTATATATGCTCATATATGTGTTATATGCTTACATATGTAATATATTATATGTATGTAGATGAGTAAACACAATACACATTTTTACAAATATATGTAAAACACAAATGTAAGAAATACAATATATCGTGTGTGTGTGAGTGTGTGCACGTGAGCGCAATTTACTCTTCTACATACATGGTTTCTTCCCAGTAGAATATAAGTTCCTTGAAGGGTTATATGCTTACATATGTAATATATTATATGTATGTAGATGAGTAAACACAATACACATTTTTACAAATATATGTAAAACACAAATGTAAGAAATACAATATATCGTGTGTGTGTGAGTGTGTGCACGTGAGCGCAATTTACTCTTCTACATACATGGTTTCTTCCCAGTAGAATATAAGTTCCTTGAAGGGAGAAACCATTGTTTTTTTGAACCCCCAGTGCCTAGCATGTAGTAGGCACTTAAATGATTTTAAAAAAATAAATTCTCATACTTTTTGTCTATTACCTGCATTTTCCAATGTATCCCTCTCCTCTTCCCCTCCCAGAGAGACACCCCTTATAACAAAGGATAAAAAAAGAGGGGAAAAAACCAGTTCAGCAAAACTTAGTTATCAAAAAAGTCTGACATTCTAGGCAGTGTTCCACAGCCAGAGCCCCCCACCTCTGTGAAGATGCTGGGTGAGGAGATACCTTAAGATGACCTAGGCAGTAAGAACAATTGGAACAGATCAGAAACGTGTGTGGGAGCCAACAATTCTGAAAATGCAGGGAGCCATAAGTGGTACTACAACTTTAAAAAAAAAAAGCAATAGAGCACACTGATCAGTGATCACTGACCCATGTACTACCTTCCCATCACTATAAAGCTTTCAGTAGGATCCCTTTTGAAAGGAGAAGGGATGGGGGGGAGGGGGTTATTTTCTCTAGCAGACACCTTAAACATTACATAATCGACAGAAAGATACAGCAAATATGAGAACCTGCTGTTTGTTGATTTTTTAAAATTGACTTGGTGGAATAAAATGCACTCTTAAAAACTCTCCTCCAAAAGGCTGTCTCCAAACCTCAATGAATAATAATTAAGTGGTGATCAACTTGAGAATTACCTTTATATCAGAATATCCTAATAGAACATTAGAGCTGGAAATATTCATGGAACAAAGAATGATAGAGCTATATTGAAATCATCTAATCTCATGCCTTAAGAGAAAGGAGAAAAGTTAATCAGGGAAAGGTCACAAAGCTAACCAGGGGAAGAGACAGGCCTGACATTTAGCTATATAAGATCAGGCTAATTTCCACAAAGTCAACCAAACAGGTGAAGTTCTCAGGCCATCACACCCTTACTGGGCTATCCCTCCCCTCCACCAATCCCACAGGTCAAATGCCCAAGTTCCCTCAGGGCCACTCCCCTCCAAGATTCTAGTCCCATGGGTGACTGGGGGCTCCAACACCCATATTTGCCATTTGCCGGTAGGGTAGCATGGCCCAGGCAACAGCTAATATCATCAGAACCTAGAACTCACCTTACAAGAGAGGATGTTCCCAAAGGTAGAGAAGGTGTCATACAAGGCCTTGTTGTCAATGGAGTCATCCAAGTTCTTAATAAAGATGTTGCCAATTCCAGACTTCCGGAGCCCCGGATCCCTTTGGGACCACATGATACGGATGGGTCTGCCCTTGATTACTTCAAAGTTCATGGTGTCCAAGGCTCGTTCAGCTAAACAGAGAGGAAAGGGTTCCAGTGAACTTGCTATGGAGCAAGAGCACAGCATACGGTGTCAAGACCTGAGCTTGCCTCTCCGAGACTCAATGTCCTTAGCTGTAAAATAGGAATAATATTACTTGTAATACCTAGCTTCAAGGGTTTTGGAGAGTGTTGGGAGACAGTTTTGCAAACTGTTAACATACTCTAGAAACCCAAGTTATAATATGAGTAAAAGGTGAGAGCAGATTCTAAAGGGGAAGAAACGAATTTAAGTGGGCATGGGAAAAGCACGTGCAGGCACTGCATCCTGTGGGGAAAGGTATTTAAAGTAAGTAAAGCAAGGAGACTCAGGGGCTGCCATACACACCTCACAATGTGGTCTCAGGACAGCCTACTCCCTCCCAGCATGTCATTTCCATCTCACTCTTCACAGGGAAGATAATAATAGCTAACACTTACATGGCGCTTACAATGTGCCAAGCATTGTGCTAAGTGCTTTATAGTATCATTATCTCTTTGATCCTCAAAACAGCTTTGGGAGGCAGGTGGTAAGACATAGCGCTTTTCCTATCCAAAAAACGTACTATGTATATACAGCAGGCATTGAGTACAGCACAGATCACCGACTCCATGCCAGAGAAGTGGAGAGGTTTGTTCTACATCCAAAGGTCTGTTTCAATGCTAATATTCTACGCCTGATGTTCCATGGGCTCTCTCCTGAATCGAATATTCTCCAAACTACATATGACCTACAAGAAATTCTACCAACCCTCTGGGCAAGCCCCGATTTTTATTCAGCCTTCAAGGGGCTGTCTTCCCACAGGGTAGTGAGAGGCTGAGGGCAAATGAATTCCCAGACCCATCTATTACTGCCTACTCCAAGGCAGCCAGCAGGAAGCAGGGGTGATGCTCCTGTGAACCACAGTCAGGGGCCATTTAACCTCTCATCTTTTTCTTCTTATTTGTACAAATGGGAATAATAAGAGCACCTACCTCACACGGCTGTTTTAAAGATCATTATTACTGTTATTGATGATAATAATAGCTCCTACTATGTGCCAGGCACTGTGCTAAGCGATTTACAAACATTATCTCCTTTGATCCTGCGAGGGACAAATGGGATAACAAAAGGAAAGCATTTTGCAAAGCTTTAAGTGATAAATAAATGTTAGCTATGATTTCCCAGTGAGTCAAGCATCTTCAAGAGGCCACTGGCATCAGTCTGATCTCGGATAAATCACTTTGACTCCCTTTGTCACATTTTCCCCACCTGTAAAACCCAAGGGGTCAAACTAAAAACGCCTAACACTGTAAAGGCAAAGCTCTTCCCCAGGAGAGTTGATTTGAGGTGTTTTTTTCTCTTCGAGGGCACATTTTAAGCCAAATTCCCATGGAATAAAAGTGGCCACTCTAACTTTTCCAGACAATGAGATTGGTTAATAGAATTCTCCCAAGCATCCCCTCTCCCTCCCAAACAATTCTCTTCCTGGGGGACCATGTGAGTTTTTAGATATTCAAATGCGAAGGGAATAAGCCAAGGAAAACTGCCTAACAGAGCTTTACTTACTCCGGTGGCATAGAGAGCAACGGCTTTTACGGGGAAAGATGGCTGCTAGAGTAGGGGTTGGCCCGCCACACATGGGAACGTAGAAAGGAGATTCCCATTCACATGTGGATTGGGCTGGATAGCCTCGGAGGTGCCTTTCCCACTAGGAGATACTAAGGCTCACGGAAACGTTTAGGCAGCATGGATTAATCAACAAAGAAGGTGCCTACGCGGGATGACTTAGCACATTGCAGGGCCCCTTCCAGCTCTGCCATTTTGGGTAGACAACACACTTCCGGTGTACCACCCCGAGCCTGGGCAGGCCCAACAGCACGCAACTTTGGTGGGTCGGGTGGGGAGAAGAAGGGAGGGGGAGGTTCCGAGGCTGTGCTTGCCGCCCCCTGCCCCGCACCACCGCTGGGCTTCGTTTGGGAAGGCGGTAAAGCCGAGGTCTCTCAGAAGCGAGTCCCGGGGCCTCCCCCGGGGCTTCCCCCGGGGCTACGGGCGCGTTTCCCTCCCGGGCTCACCGTCCGCAGGCTGCTGGAAGTTGATGTAGGCATAGCCCAGGGAGCGGCGCGTGGCCACGTCGCGGCAGACGCGGATGGACATGATGGGCCCAGCGGCGGAGAACTTCTCGTACAGCATGGCCTCTGTCACGTCGGGGTGCAGGTCGCCCACGTAGAGGGACGCCAGGGGGTAGCCGGGGCCGCTTGCGTTCATGTTCCAAGGAGAGGACGGTCACGGTCTAAGGAGAAGGCGAATGGGAGGGTCTCACAAGGCTGGGTACGGGCCCTCAGCACGTGGAAATCGCGGGAAGCCCCCACGAGGGCACCGGAAGAAAAGAAGCCAGAGTCCCGGCGCCTCTGCCTGCCAGCCCTGCCCCGACCCCACTGCACTCTTTTCCCCCCGCGTCCCCCAGACCGGGCCCCAGGGCTCACCCTGGCAACGTCCCGGGAGCAGCGGAGAGCGGGTGCGTCCGACCACGAGGGAATGGAGAAGCCAGTGGCAGCCTCCCCCGCTAGATGGCCCTGGCCCCGCCCCTTCCTTTACGCCTCTCGGGGTGGGGTGGGCCAATCCCAGGGGTCGGGGCTGGGAGGCCTAGGGGGCGTTGCAGACTCTTCCCTGGACCGACGCCGCTCCCCAGACGGGAAGGGTACGCGGGACGCGCAGGAAGCTGCACCTGCTTCTCTGAATGGGTCGCCCCCCAGGTGCGCCTTTCCCGGTTTTCCCTCCCCTCCTGGGGGCAGTTAGGCTGTTAAGCGGCTGGCTGGTGGCAGCAACGAGGGGCAGTTGAAGGAGTCCTGGAAGACCTCAAGGTCTTCCTAGCAGTATGCTCTTGGGCAAGTCACTTGCTCTATTTAGGCCTATTCCTTCATCAGCAAATGATCTCTGCCTGTCTGTCTCTATTTGTACGTCTGTAACTAGTCTTCCCTCTCCAGCACTCATTGGCTCGTTGTGAACTCAGAGAATGGAGAAGCCTGAGGCAAAGCCTATTAACCAGTTAGACCTTTAGTCTCCAGAATTTCAAGAGGTACCATCTCTCCCAAGCTGGACTCCTGAGTTCTAAGCCCAGTTCCAAATACTTTTGTGGAAGTGGCATTTTGAGTTGGGACACATACCAGTTAGCTGTATGTGACCTCTTGCCTCTTCTAGGGCTCAGAATTTGACCTCCTCTTAACTGATTCTAAGTACAGTTTTCTATCCAATATATACCAGGCTAGGAAAGAAGGATGGATGGATGAAGCACCTACTGTGTGCCAGGTACTGTGCTAAGTAAGTACTTTACAAATATTATCTCATTTGATCCTCACAACAACTCTGGGATGTTGGTGTTCCTGTTTTATAGTGGCTTGCTTGGGGTTACACATCAGGAGTCTGGGGTCATATTTGAATTCAAGTCTTGACTCCAGTACTGCTGCTCTATCTACCTATCAAACTATGAGATCTGGGAAAGCTTTGGAAGGTTCTAGGGAATTTTGTCCTCTTATGAACCTAAGTCCTCAGGGTTGCCAGGTGTTCCTTCCTAAGAGTAGAAGCAGGCCTACTGCTTCCCATTAAATAATAATTCTCAGGTATCCCTCCGAATGGAGAATGGAAAATCTCCATCTAAGCAAAGCCCCCAGGCCAGCCATCTCATTTCCCACTAGGCTTCACTACTTTGTTGGGGGAGAGTTGGGAGCACCTTCCTTCTCCAAGCCTCTTTTCAACTTCCTTTTGCCTGTCCTCTTCCCTCATTAGATAGTAAGCTCCTTGAGGGCAGGGCCAATCTTTCCTTGTTTGTTTCCACAAGTGTGCTTGGCACATAGTAGATGTGATTACAGGATTTTGAACTGAAAGAAACCTACCAAACCATCTGGTCCAACCCTCCTTTTTGAGGCCAAAAACAGGTCCCAGGGCAATGTGGCACAGCAAAAAGGCCAAAGGACCATAACATCTTGACTTGGCAAGGTACTAAATGATCTTGGGCAAAGCACCTTGCATTTCTTAGGCTTTGGTTCCCTCTTTCACATTGTTAAATCATTTCAGTCAAACCAGACTCTTCATCAGCCCATTTGGGGTTTTCTTGGCAAAGAAAACTGCACCACCTACCTGCCTTTTGGGGAGAGGGAGGAAAAGAACTAGATAACCTTTATAGTCTCTTCCAGCTTTTAAACCTATCATCCTACACTTGCTGTTGCAGCTAGTAAGTAGTAGAGTTTGGATTGCAAAACAGGTCTTCTAATTCCAAACGCTCTTTCTCATGCAGAAACTTTTACCTGGAGGGGCAGACTATGGCAAGGAAACAATTTCTTCTCAAAGATGGAATGCATTTTTAAAGACCATCCCCCATCATCAGAATTTCTTTTTTTTGCCTACATTCATAATTGAAGGAAATTAGCTAAATTTCAGTTATAAGTTAATGAAGATTTTTTTTCCATCCAAGTTCATGGACCCCCCTATAATCTTAAGAACTTCTTGTAACAAGAGGGAGATTTCAGCTAGATTTTTGGCAGAGGAGTCTTGCTTCAACAAAAAGGCCAAGGAAAAGATGAGCTTCCTTCCCAACTTCTGGGTGGTACCACTAGCTTTAGATGAAGACATACAGCTCCTACCTTGGTTAAGCACTTGGTTTACAAGACATTCCTCATGACAAACCTGCTCTGTTCCAGGCATTACAAGTATGGTCCCTATTTTTACAGATAAGAAAATTGAAAGTCAGTGACTTGGTCAAACAGCTAAAGAAATAGAGGATTCCAGTCCACGTCTGCTGACCCAGCAGTTTTTTGACTTCATCTGAAGACTGCAAACCTGCCAGGAAAGAGAGGGATTCCTTTGGGATGGTCCTGCAGCTTTTGCTGCAGCAGATGTAGGCACTGTACAGCACATTAATCCATATGGCAAGGGGCAAATGCCCTGGTATGGCTTGAACATCATTAAATTGCCTTTTTTTTGGGGGGAGGGAGGATTGGGGGGCAGTGTTAAAGCTAGAACACAATGCTGAGTGTAAACAAGGGACTCTCCAAACATACATTTTTACTATTGTCTGGAAGGCCAAGAAGAAAATAAAAAGTGAAGATAGGTTGTGTTCTAATGAAAAATTCCTTCCTACTTGCAATAGTAACAAAACACCAGAACCTCAGAAGAGGTGTTGGACCACCTTGTCCGACCCATACTTAATTGAGAATTCACCGTTAACCTACTTCACGAGGCTACTGAAAGGAATAAATGAAATTGTAGATACTAATTTATGAATCTTGAAAGTGCTACATAAATGCCAGCTACTCTTACCTCTTAAAATGCTTCATGCCTCCACATAAGCCTCTCCAAGGCAGTCCATTCCACTGTAGGATAGCTGCAATTATTAGGAGAAAACCTTCACTTGTATCATACCTAGTGTAATTCTCTTTCCTCCTTTACTCCCTTCCCCTGGAGCCCTTCAGAACAAGTCCAATGCCTCTCCCATAAGACAACTTTTCAAATAGTTACAAGATCTCTTTTTAGAAATCTTCTCCTAGCTAGTCATCCTGAGGTTCAAATGACCTCCTTAAGAGACGCTCTTAGGCCTCTTCTCCCAGTGCACTCCCATTCAGGTACGGATTAGACAAGGTGAACTCTGATACCTCATCTGAGGTTCTGGCATGTCCTTTCTATTGCAGGTGGGAAGCAAAAAAGGGAACTTTTCATTAGAGCAGAATGGATCTCCACTCCTAATTTCCTTTCCCACATACTAGTCAGGCTCCTTTGAGCATTTTCTAGTCTATCAACATCCTCCCTAAACTGAATACAAGAGTCCAGATACGATCAGACCAAGGCAGTGAGGCAGAAAGACTATCACTCCCACTCATTCTGGATAACTTGACCCTTATTAATGCATATTCAGTTCAGTATTGATTCTGTGGCTACATCATACTGCTTAGTTTGCTGTCTAGTAGAATATTTCACATTTTCTTAGCACTGTCCACTTTTTTCCTTGTGGCACAGTGAGTTAGGTATCATCCCCATGTAATAGATAAGGAAAACAGAAGTGAAGAAGGGAAATAGGCTGGACTGGATGAATTCTAAAGTCTTTCAGGCCTTGAGGTTTTTCATGTGCCTCTGGTCACAGGGCTTTTTAAGTGGCAGAGACACAAGTTACTCAAGGTCTTGATGTTTCTAGACATGACTTACAATTTTCATAGTGTTTTTGGTTATAAAGGGATTTCCTAGGGATCACCTCACATCTATAAAGTTGGTAGTTCTATCCCTATTTTACAGATGAGAAAACTCAGGTCCACAAAGGCAAAGTATCTGGTCAGAGGTCATAGCTAACAAGTAGGAAGCATTTTGGCCTCCTTTTCTTCATGTGTAGAATGAGAGGGTCTGACAAGATGACTTCTAAGGTGCCTACCAGCTCATAATGAATCACTGAACACAACTGTCTAGTCCAGCCTATATCTAACTTCACCCTAGATGTCCTGACTCCCAGAAGTTAAAGGCTATATAAACTATGATGCCCCTGTATAAGATGATGTCCATTATGGATAAATGAAAAAGTCACCCCTCAGTGAAAGAAGAGAAAACAGGTTATATGAAACCAAACGCTGGGTATTCAAAATAACCAGCTTAGTTCCAGCAGAAGTACAGATCTCCACCAGGAAAAGAACAAAACAATTATCCACAGGCCTGATTTAACTGATAAAATTTTTTATTTCACTTTTGAATTCTTTTACACTCTTCCTGATTATTCCATGTAAGGTGAAACTAGAACTGTTTAAAAGACAGACACAAATCTAGTACATCAATGACCAGGGATTTTGTTTTTGCTATACTATTTTCACAACCACGTGTGTGCTACGCAATATACCCATCACAGAAGCAAACGGTAGGAGGAATACTGGTCAGTAAAAACAAAGCAAAAAAGAGCTACCAGATATACAGACAGGCTCGGTTCCACATTCACTACTGTGCTGATCAAGCGCCAAGGACTAACTGCACAATGCTTCAGCTGGGGGGGAGTGTTTTTGTGGATTTTTCTTTCTTTTTTTCTTTTTTTTTTTAATCAGTGCATGAATTTTATTTGTTTTAGCAGACAATGGACAAACAGATGGTATTGACAGCTCAGTGGAATGTTAAGGTGGCGAGACGGTGCTGTGAGACGATAGGCCTGGATGCTTGGAGTCCTTCCCTGTGCATGGTTCATGCAACATTCTGTAAATTACAGGGTCTCATTTGGGCACGCCTGATGTCAGGTACTAACAAGTATGTTGGGGCTGCATTCCAGGAGGAAAAAACGGGAACTCTTACATACTGACTTAAGTCAAATCTTGGGTGTGACTTAAGAGTAGCATATGCTCAAAGAACTGGAGGAAGACTGAATGGTGGCACCTGCAGTTCTGGCCTGTCCACAAGTCCTGGAAAACTCCCCTTCCCCCCTCCCCTGCCCATATATTCACAAAAAAGTGAAGCAAAAATATACAGAAGGACAGAATTCACAAAGAAAAAAGAGATAGGTAAGAGGAGGCCGAAGGAAAGAAACCTAGGAAGGAAAAAATTACATTAACAGGCAGAGAGGACAGTGGAAAGAATGGCTGGAGACAGCATTTTGACTTCTAAATTGGGAATACCCTAAAGATTTTTTCTTTTAAATTTTCCTAGAGAAAGGCAATCTTGTAAGTACATTATTCCTAAAGGTAATATCCAGCAAACATATAAGGCCATTCATAAAATATGCATCTTTTCTTGCTTCAGCTCACTTGTCACAATGAAAGGATGATTCCACTATTTAAGCATAAGTTGCAAACTGGTAACTTACTGCTGCAGGAAAGGGGTTTTGTCACATCCACAATAGCTGCTGACAGGTCCTTCCAACTCAGAAATTCTGTGATTCTAGATTATGTGTGCATTAGACCTCATTCAGCTTCAAAACCCAGGTGACTATCACAAAGGAATTTGGAGGTCAGGAGTCCATCTTCCCCAGAAGGGAAGGAAATTGTGACAGTGACTTTCACCAGTTCTGGACTGTAAACAGCCCAAAGTGATGAAGAGTCTGAAGCCCCAGATAACAGGTAGAATCATTTTCAGGTGTCAATGAGCTGGAATATTACCAGATGGGTGTTTCATTCCTTGTCCCAGTGTCACAATATAATCTCTATAACTTTCTGTACAGCTTTACAACAGAATTGTACTTTGACTATTTGGATATCAGATTAAACTTTCAAAAAAGTTACATATAATTCAGGTCTACTTTTTTTTTTCCCTACCAGTAAGAGAGAGTTCTGCTGAGTTACAAAACCCCATAATCACAGTGTTCAGTTTAAAAAAAAAAAGAGAGAGAGAGAGAGAGAGAAAGAGAAACACTCAGTAATCCTAACTGTCAATGTTAATCAGAATCAAACTCCAGAATGCCATCGTTATTTGTTTTACCAATCTCAGTTTTTGATACAAACACCAACTGTTCACCCTACGGACTGTTTTTGCTATGCTGAGGTTGTGAAAAGTTGACGTACGATTCTTTGTCGCACAAAGGGATATATGTGTAGGGTACAGAGTGATACTGAACAGACAGTGAAGCATAACAGCCATTAGTTCTCTCCCTCGCCAGCTTCCCCTTCATCACCCTGGTTTTCTGATGTCCATAACTGTAAGAAGAGAAAAGAAAGTTGTTTGCACTCACTTATATAATTAGCCTGCATTCATGACTCTCTACAAGCTAGCTCCAACTTACTTTTCCTAATCTTATTTTCTGCTACTCTCCACCCTCATTGAGACTCTACACAAATTATATTCTCTTGAATATGCCCTCATTCTTTCCTACTTCCACACCTTTCTGCTCATTCTATTCCCCCATGAAGAATGTCCTTCCCTACCAATCTACTTGTTGATCTTTCTTCAAAACCCAAAGACCAATTCCTTCAAGAAGTTTTTCCTTGATTCTTCTCTCCCTTCACCTGGAAATCATTTCTCTTATTTGATCTTGTAGCATATTTTATATTTTACTTATGCAGTGGCCATACTCTTAATCTGTATTAAGTCTGTACATTTCTTTTTCTTCCACCAGACTGAAAACTCCTTGTATCATTTACTTATACCTTACATTTTATTTATAATACCACCTAGCACAATATACTGAACACACAGTATTTTACAACTGTTTGATAAATAAACAAACCACCTCAAGTTCTGCCTATTCAATTGCAAGTGAGTGGAAAGATAAAGGTTTTAGGTAGAAAATGCATATATCTAGAAAATTTTATGAGGGGACCTGGGAGATAAATAAACATCTCTACATAACCATTTGTTAGATGGTACTACACAAAATGTCAATAGATCATGCTAACATAATGTGAATAATTTTTTTTTTAGGATTCCAGCCTCTAGAAAAAAATGGTGATAAAGAAACTCATAGGAAGTGGCATCAAACAGTTATTTCGGGCTAAAGTGTTCCAAAGCACAGTACAGATGAGATAACCACAGAGCCATAATACTTACAGTGAGATTGTCCCTGAGTAACTGCATGATCAGAGTACTATCTTTGTAAGATTCTTCATTCAGTGTATCCAGTTCAGCTATCGCTTCATCAAAGGCCTAAAACAAACTACAAAGATTTAGCACAGAATTCCTTGGCACTCATTCTCTAAGTTAAATTCATTTTTTTCCTTAGCCAAAACAGTAAAGAAAATAATCCTCCATTTGCACTATTAGATTCTGGCCACACAGCCCATGATCCTGATAACTATATTGGCAAATGTCACCTTATGCACATAATAATCATCATTCTTCTAAAGATAAAAGACATCTCTAAACCACAAAGTTCCTAGATGAGAACATTACAAGAACTAGCTTCTTGCTTGTAGTGCAGCAAGAACCACTGCTAACATCATGTGTTTTCTGCTAGGTCTACTAGATTTCTAAGTTATACAAAATGTCTATTTATTTTGTGATCTAATGCTCAAAGGCATGGATAAGAAGTGTTATGAATTTAAAATCTTTGAAGTGTTCAAAGGAGAGGGAACAGTGGTTATAAAACTACTACTCCTAAAACCAACTGACAACTGAGCTACAAAACATTTCTGAAGACTTATTTTAATTCCAGGTCCTATTCAGAAAAATTCTAATGGCAGTGTATTTCTGGAAAAACGTTTCAATTACATGGAAAGGGCAGTAGGTTATTTAAAACAGAACACAGGACGTAGCAAAGTGAGGATGCAAAAACTAATTAGACCAGCTTAATTTGACTTCAGTTCTTGGTATGATGAAGATCATGCCTTTGACTGAGCCCTAGAGTCAATAACCAGGGCAGAAACAGCCAAACTGCTTTATTTAAGCTTCTGATCCCCATAGTCCCAAATGACTCTAGAAGACACTAAGATGAGAAAATAAAGAGAAGGGGATTCACTGGCAAGTCTACAATACTCAGCCCTAAGGTCATGTGCATTTCCTCCCCAAAGGACTGGTTCTCATGGAAGACTGTGTCAACGAAACAGCTCAAACAAGTTTCAGGCAGAAAAAAGTAAGTTATGAAAACAATCCTTCCTGCTGGTTAGTGACCTACTGGGAGACACAAAAAGGGTCCACTCACCGTTTTTGCCAGACTGCAAGCTTTCTCAGGTGAATTTAGTATCTCATAGTAAAAGACAGAGAAATTAAGAGCCAAGCCAAGTCGAATTGGGTGTGTGGGCTGCATTTCTTTCTTACTAATTTCAAATGCTTCCTGGTAAGCCTGTTGGGAGTTTGATACTGTAGCTAGAAAAGATTAAAAAAAAATTTAAGCTGAATTCACTCACAGGTTTAAAAGCATTATAACTTAAGTTCTCACCTGGCCTGATAATATTTTGTCAAAACTACTTTAACCAAGTTGGTGGCATGTTTTTCCTCCAAGTGTAACTAGCCAGTGACATCCAGCACAACTTGGTGCTAGTAGAACTGGTTATACTAGAAAGCCTAGAGCTCTCCTTGCTACACATCCCTTTCAAAAAGGACAGTTGAATAGTGGGTCCACAATTAGCTAAGTTATACATTCATGAAACATACTTTGTCATTTTTGAAAGGTCATCCAGAGAGGTCCAGAGAGAAAGGCTCACTGGCTTCCAAAAGCACAAAATCATGACTGAGGATCAACAACCAGAATGATCTACACAAACTCTTATTCCTTAAAAGAAACCCCCAAAACAAACAAACAAACAAAACAAGTGAAGACAAATCTTCAGCCAACACATGATCATCAATTCTAGGATTCTTTGTGTTTTGGGGTTTTTTTTGGGAAAATGTCAATTAGCTTTTAGCCTAAGATTAATATTTGACAACAACTTCAGTTAGTCTTAAAGACACTGAAATGAGTTTAGCAAAAATTGAGATATTTGGGACATTGTAGTTTCTCATTCCCAGTGGCAAAAAACACCCAACAGTCTGCCGCATTTCCTCAGTGTGTCCAGAACAGTTGTTACAGGGTTCTTAGACTACCATTACTGTTGCTGCATAGTTAACAATGGTGGTGGGTCTATATGTCTAAGTACCTGGACTCATTCTGGACATTAGCATTTCAGTTCCTGAGGGAGCTTTCTCAGCTGCATTGGGGGGCTATGGGGTGAGGGTCGAACAATCACTTCTATCTTCCTTTCTGAGTATTTCAGGATAAGGGATTCAAGAAAACTTAAATTGTAGTTTTTGCTTTGATGTAATACTTAAAAAATGGAACCAAGTTTCCAAGGTCAGAGATGACTAATTTTTTGCTAAATGTTTTTAAACATTTTCTTATTAAACTAGTTAATATTTTTATGTTTGTAATCCAAGATCATATTTTCAGAGCATAATTTTTGTATAAATAAAGAGAAGTATTTAAACCTTGCAGTTTCCTTCTGACACACACAAAAAACACAGGTAGAAGCTACAGAAACCATGTTAAAACTTTCTGCTGGGCAGGACCCACCTTAACATAAATAATAATAATGATAGGGACAGCTAGGTGGCACAGTGGATACAGCATCGGCCCTGAAGTCAGGAGGACCTGAGTTCAAATCTGGCCTCAGATCTTACTAGCTGTGTGACTCTGGGCAAGTCACTTAACCCCAATTGCCTAAAATAAAATAATAATAATAATAATGATAATAATAGCATTTATATAGTATTTATATAGTACTTTAAGCCTTGTGAATCAATTTACAGGTTGTCATTTGAGCCTCATAACAATACCATAAGGTGTTATCATTATCCCCATTTTACAGATTAGGAAAATGAGGCTGAGGGAGGTTAAGTAATTTGCCCAGGGTCATATAGCTAATAAACATCTGAGGCAGGATTAAAATTCAGGACTTCTTGACTCCAGGTTCAACATTATCCACTGTGCCAACTAACTGCATCTGGCCTGTCACATCCCTGTCCAGGATACCATCACAGAACACAAATCCCATGATGTGGATCTCAATATCATTTTTTTTTAAAAAGGCAATTGGGGTTAAGTGACTTGCCCAGGGTCACACAGCTAGTCAATGTCGAGTGTTTGGTGTAAGGCCGGATTTGAACTCAGGTCCTCCTGACTTCAGGGCCAGTGCTCTATCCACTGCGCCACCTAGCTGCCCCCCAATATCATTCTTGATGGCCCTTATAAGAGACTAATCATTTATAGTAAATATTAAACTCAAAAGTTTTAAATGACTCTCTGAGGATGTCTTCTCATTTTTTTTAAGTTTTGTGGATTGTTTTTAAGCAATTCAAGTATGTTTCCTGATTTTGAGATACTCAGTAGTGTTGTACAATCACCGCTCTACTGAATGTGTACAACAATTCCATGAAACTGATAATCCTATATGGCTTCAAGTGTCAGAATTAAAGAGAATTTATTATTACAAAAAGAAAAAACCAACAATAAAAAAAACAATCCATTTTGAGATTTGGTGGATTATTGCTTACATCATGTACAGCAAAGATAGAAGCAAATAAATTAACTTAGCTTAGTATGGCGTCTGATCTAGTGAATGAGGTCATGGTATCACCACCAGTTAAAAACCGACTGACTCAATATCTTAGCCATCACTGATTGTTTCAAGCTCTTAAAAAAATACAAACTCCACTTCTAAAAAGACATGCATCCAAATATTTAAGGGCAAGATTTTCTGAAAGTAGTGTTACTAAATTAGATTTTAACTGCTGAAATTATGGTATATGAATGTAATAAAATACTATTTTGCTATAAGAAAGTATTAAATGGATTGTTTCAGAGAAACCTGGAAAAACTTATATGAAATTAAAGAGTAAAGTGAGAAGAACCAGCAGAACAATTTATACAATAACAGCACCGTAAAGACAAACAATTCTGAAAGATTTATGATCAACACAATGTCCAATCACAATCCCAGTGGGCCAGAAGACTGATAAGGTATGCTCCAGGGGAGCAGAGAAGTGATAGACTTGGTGAAGAATAAGACATACGCTTTTGGGACATGGCCAATGCAGAAATTTGTTTTGCATGACTATGCATAATTATTATAAGAATTTTGTGTTTTTCCCCTAATGCGGACAGAAAATAAGACTTAAGAGAATATAATTTTTAAACATTTTAACTTTATATTTCATCAATGAGATATCCTGTTTGTCATTTCCGAAAAATCAACAAGTAAACTAGTTTAATTAACTTGTATCTGCTGGCATACATTCAAGGTCATTTGAAATTCTGAACACTACAAAGTGTTAATGTCATAAGAGTAGCTCACATTTTTAGTGCTTTGCAGTTCATAAAGTACTTGAATCAGTTAATAAACAAATATTATTAAGCATCTACTACATGCCACGTGTTGTGCTAAACATAAAAATACAACAACAAAACTAAAACAATCTCTGCCCTCAAAGGAACTTTCATTCTCTTTCCTCAAAATAACAATGGGAGGTGGGTAGTGTATTTTTAACCCCATTTTATAGTTATGAAACAGAAACTTAGAAATTTTTGACTTGCCTAAGGTCAAATGACTAATAATGGCAGAGTAAGGTGTCTAAATTCTGGTCTCTCCTGACTCCAAGTCCAATATTTTTCCCATTAAACCACATGTTAACATATTCTGTTTTTACACTGCAAAAATTTCCCTCTGTATCTCTTCCCTTCTCCACTTCCAAAGAGCCATCCCTTATTATGAAGAATTTAAAAAGAGAAAAAGGAAATGAGCAAAACCAGTACATAAAAAAAATCTAATAATATATTCCATATTCTACACCTGGGACCCCTGTTCCTCCCAATTCTGTAAACAAATACATACTTTCTCCTAAAACCAATATAATTCAAACTAGGTCCCAAGAATGTATTTGATAAAGACACTATATATTTAAAGTAGCTCCAATTTTGGTTATTTTTCTTTAAAACATTACTTACTTTGTTTATTGTCTCCAGATGCCACCTCAGAGAGATATCTGAAGTAATCACCTTTCATCTTTAAGTAGAAGACTTTACTTTCTGGTTGTGTGGCATTGAGAATAAGGTACTTGTCCAAGAGCTCCTGAAAAGAGATTAAGGATTTGAAGTCTTATTGAGGTTATTTTAATATAGAGTTAGGATATTTTAAAGCAACAAATCACTTTTTGTTATAATCACCTTTGGTGATTTATTTTAAAGATACACTTTTTGAACAAAATATAGGCTAGAGCATTATTAATTAGGAATACTATTATAAAGAGGATTCATTTACCAAGCGAGGGATTTATTGACCTAAAAAAGGATCTCTAAAGTCCCTTCCAACTTTGAGAGTCAATGAATCTTTTATCCCAGGTCAAAACACACTAAGACTATACACTTTGTATTTTAAAAAATTTACAATTTTTTTCAATATTTCCTTTGCCATGTGAGGATTCCTTAAGGAGTTCAAACTTTATAGAGAAAAATACTTCTTCCTGGAATATAAGTGCTAAAAAACTCAAGATGAGAGTTGGGACTAGGGGTAAGCAAGGCAGGCGAGCCTTCCTTGTACAAAAGAAATACAAAATGCCCCTAAAAATTCCATTCTTCACAACCCAAAGGCAATTTAGTTTGTGACAAGTTGAGTGGCCTGTGTTATAATAAGGTCACAACACCTTCAATAAACAATCATACACAGGGATATGTGATTTCCAAAAGCCAATAGCAGGGGAAGCCTACAACTTTCAAGCCTGGCTTGGGCAACACAACTGCCTGATTCAGGTTGTTCAGACATGACTCTCCTAGTTTGGAAAAAAAAGGGCAAATTGCAAAAGTTTAACAGTAATTTTAATGCCCCGTATTGAAGATACATAACATATATAGTAGAATACCATGGAGGGCAGGAAAAAGGAATATTGCCTTTGTGACAGAGTTTTGTACAGTTTCTCAAAAAGAAGCTGTCATGGGCAGAGCTGTCCCCAGGGTACAATAAACTGGGGCAGTTCCCTGAGGCCCTGCCCTGTTCATAAGCGGACAGTAGGACAGAACCATCCGGGCAGGTGATGACTTCCTTTTCCCCTTCAGGGCTGCCTGTAACACTCATTTGAACCCAATGTCACTCTTACCTCATCCTTTACCAAACATCTACTAGGTGTAAGGAACCAAAATACAGACAAAACCAAAACGACTCCCGCTCTCGAGGAATTTACACACATAAGTAAAGTTAAGGTAATGTGAAAAAGGAAAAGAAAAACAGATTACAAAAGGCTTCATGTAGGAAGTGGCACCTGAGCTCAGCCTGGATTCTAAGAGGCAGAGCTGGGAAAAGAACACATTCCAAGCAAGGAGGACAGTCTGTGCAAGTAGCATTAAGATGGGAGATAGAATGCTAAGTTCAGTCAGCAGCTAGTACATCGGTTTGGCTCAAACATAAAGCATGCAAAAAGGAGTAATAAGAAGTCTGGAAAAGTAGGTGGAAGCCAGACTGTACCGGAATTCAAATGCCAAGCTGAAACATTTGTGATGTTACCCCAGAAGACATACGGGGCCACGAAAGATTTTTCAAGGATGACACAGTCAGATTTATGTTTTAGGAATATTAATCTGGTAGCTGCATGAATGGACTGGAGAGAACAAAGACTAGAAGAAAGATAACAAATTGGAAGGCTACTGTAATACTCTAGGAAGAAGGTGATAAAGCCCTGAACTAGGGTAATGGAGAGACTGATGTGAGAAATGTTGTAGATGTCAATTTGACAAGATCTGGCAACTGAATGGACATGGAGGATGAGGGACAGAAGAGTAAAATATCCCTCTAAAGTTGGGAACCTGGGTATCTGGAAGGAGGGAAGTGAGCTCAACAGAAATGGGAGGTTTAGAGAGGCAAGTTCAGTAGCAAAAATGACCAGTTTGGGACATTCTGAGTTTGGGATACCATGGAATATTCCAGTGTAGGTGGTCCAGCAGGCAGCCGATGATGTATGTATGACTGCAGTTCACGAAATAGAGTAGAGGTATATATGTAGGTTTGGGAGCCATCCTCATAGAGATGACCATTAAACTTATGCTAGAACTTAGCACCGTCATAAAACCGTTATCACTGGATACAGTGGGGCAGTATTTGCTTCAGGTCTTGTGCTTCTGCCAAAGACAGTGCTGCCTATAAGTAAAGAGCACTTTTATAGTTATTACATGTTACGTATATTATATATAACATAGTCATTACAGTTATTACACTTTGTGTACATGACACATTCTCCTACTGAACTGTAAGTACTATGACAGCAGAGAAAATGTCTCATTCATCTTTCTACCTCCTTTATTGGCTAGCACAGTACTTTTTGCACAGTAGATATCTAACAAAACGTTGAACAGACGCCTAATTACCTATACCAAGATAGTAGACACAGACAACCCCATGTGGAGGCTCATCATTTTTATATGGCTTTGGAATGCTTTTTTGCATTTAAACTTCTCACTCCATGCTGGGGGATAACAATTTCATGGTAAGCAAACTGCTTGCTATCTCTTTCTCTCTCCACTGTCTATTTAGTCTACTGGGGAAGAAGAGATGATGATGAAGGGCTACTTTTTCCAATGGGTAAGCCTAAGGTAGGAAGGAAAAAGAGATCCTAAAGTGTAAATTAACTGTATCCTATAAGGTAAACATAAGGGGGGAAAACGATAAGGTTCTAAACTTGGTTGCAAATCCTTCCATAGGTTTCTAATGTAATCAGAAACTTAAATCTAATGAGAAACCAGATCATTACCAGTGGAGACAGTATGACGTAACTGAAATAACAATGGACTTAACAATGAGAAGATGTGGGTTCAAGTCCCAGCTTTGATATTTACTGGCTATATGATTGTGGCTATCAATTAATCCTTAAGACCTCAGTTTCCTCTTCTGTAAAATGGGGACAATGAATCCTGTACCACCTACCCCAGTTTTGTTGTGAGATAATGCACTCTATGAACTTTTACCATCTATGTAGATGTTAAATAGTATTATTATTACCAGGACGTCATTGCAGATATCCTGCAATTCTGCTTCAATTTTCTCACGGTATTCTCTGCCCATCTGCTGCTTCTTCTCACTTCTCTCTGTCTTCTGCTCAATGCTGGAGATCACTCGCCAGGAAGAACGTCGGGCACCTACCACATTCTTGTAGGCTACTGAGAGGAGGTTCCTTTCTTCATTGGACAGTTCATGTCCCTGCTCAGTGACTGCCTTCATGGCAGCAGCCATGTCATCATAACGTTCAGCCTGCTCAGCGAGTTTTGCTTTCTGCACAAGCTCACTTTTATCCATGGTCATCCCCTAAAGTAAAAAAATAGAAGCATAAATGTTAGATGGCCAGACACCGCAGGGAACAAACACCTTTCAGCTAATAGATTTTTCACAGAATGCTGGAGCTAGAAGGGACTTCGATATATAGAACATAGAGCATTACAATTGGGGACCTCAGACACAGAATTTTAACACTAGATAGAAATTTAGAATAAAATCGTGGAGCTCAAAGGAACTTCAGAGATTCACCCAAACATGTCGCATTTTACAGAGGAAGGCAACAAAGTGACTTGGCCCAAGGTCACTCGTGGCAAAACCAGGATCAGAACCAAGGTTCTGAATGTTGTCCTATCACCTGGTTAAGTAACTCTAAGGGTCTTTCACACAAACTTTCTCAGATAATGACAAAAGCAAGACAGTAGAGCAATCCAAATATGCTTTTCTTTGGAAATTGACCAAATGACACAAGATCCATTTAACTCAAACCATTCAGCAATGCCTGTTATCTTTTTGTTCCCTGACAACTTCAGAGGGAAGACTGATTTTAATCAAAGCTGATACAAAGTGAAGAGAATGAAGATAAACCTAAATATATTTATTACACCTGGCTTTATGGCTCAATCTGACTGGAAACAAGGGTATGGTGACAAAAGTTTTCAAACAGCTTATCTTCCTGTAACTTTTTAACACATTTCAATGTTGACGAGTATTGTGGTATAGTGAAAATAGTACTGGACAAGGAGTCATTGTGACTACAGGCAAGTTACTAATCCGATCTGGGCCTTAGTTCCTCAAGTATAAAATAGACCACATGGATCTTGTATTTAATCTTAAATATCAGGGAAGAAATTCCATAGATAGTATCTCTATCATAAAATGCTTAGCTACTGTCTAGCTTTATTCTATACCTTACAAGCCCAATTCAGCTCTATATACAAAATAGGTCTCAACCTTTACCCAAACTGATTCCTTTTATATCTATAGTCACTACATATAAAAATAGCAACTCATGATATATCAAGTGTTGTGTATTCACTTAGCAACCACATATTAGGCACCTATTATATGCTAAGCACTGAACACACAAAACTAAAACTCAAATATCCCCTACCTCTCAGGGAGCTTATATTCTATCAGTCTACAAAGTACTTGCTCCACAATCACCCAAACATTCAAGACCAATCTTCTGCAGATAAGGAGAGTGAGGTTCATAGTTTAAATGATTTATCTGGTCAAAAAATGAGGAGAGAAGCCAAGACTCTAAGACAGGCTTCTGACCCCCACATCTTGTGGTCTTCCCACTATAAAAAGTTGTCTCTTGCTAATTTTACATAAAGTATAATATTTCCACATCAACTGCACACTGTGAGTTCCTTAAGGGTAGGGACTATTATTCCCTTTTGTAGTATGTCTCTGGCACTTAGCACAGTACTTAGTAAATAGTTTTTATACACACACACACACACACACACAATATATAGCATTTAATAAATATCTGCTGACTGCTGTAATGTTTATATCTAAACACAATCCAAAGACTTGAAGTTGGAAAGGATCTAAGCTTGAATCCTGCCTCTAATAACGATGAGCTGTGTGACTATAGAAAAATCATAATCTCTCTGAGCCAAATTCCTTATCTGTAAAATGGGGCTAATATCTCACTAGTATGGTTTAAGAACTAAATGACAACATATAAAGCATAAGACTTAGAATGATACACAAATGTCAGCTTTTAAAAAATCCTTAGCAGAAAGCACTCTCTACATACTACTATTCTGTGCTACTATTAACTGAACCAAAGAATGTTTATTTCCAGCACACAGACCACTCAGTTAAAGGATGCTGTAAGCCTGGATCTCAAACCAAACAGGTAGAGATATATCATATTTTTTGGTTTTGTTTTTTAAAACCTCTCTATCCCACTCCTGTTTCCCTCCCTCTCATCACATCCTCCCCAGTAGGGACATACCAAAAGTTTACAAGTCAGAGTTAGGGTTAAAACTCTAGGTAAAATGTCAAATAAAACCGGATGCCATATAATGTGAGAGCAATAAATGCTTTTGAAATTATCTAGTCCAGTGGAATCAAAGTGTGGTCCAGGTACCCCCTGAGGGTCTCTGATACCCTTTAAGGGGGTTAGCAAGATCAAAGCTATTTTCATAATAATGCTGAGGTGTTCTAATTTCTAATATGGTAAATACTGATAACGATAACCCACATAAACAGAAGCTATCTGGAGTCCTCAATTATTTTTAAGAATAATTTTTTTTGTTTTGTTTTTTGGTGAGGCAATTGGGGTTAAGTGACTTGCCCAGTGTCAAGTGTTTGAGGCCACATTTGAACTCAGGTCCCACTGACTCAAAGTCCAGAGCTCTATCCACCACACCACCTAGTAGACCCAAGAATAATTTTTAAAAGTGAGTCTTAGGACCAAAAAGTTTGAGAACTGTTGATCTGAGAACTGTCCTCTCTTTATTTTGAAAGCTTTTTTAAAAAAAATACCAATCATAACCACTTAACTGCCAACCCCTGCCCACTGAACCCTCCCTCAATATAAAGAAAAGCATTTAAGTAAAACCAACAAATATAGAACTTGCACCTGACAGTGTATTTCACATTTTATATCCATAGAATTCTCTTTCCTCTATGCCACACACATTTTCAATAAACAGAGGTGATACTGGTTATTATAATTAATCTGCCTTTTAGTGTTGTTTTCATTTACTTTATTGTTGTCATTGTGTATTCTGTTCTAGTTTTCCTTACTTCATCCTGCAATGATTTATATCAGCTTTCCCATGTTTTTCTGCATTCCTCAAACTCATCATTGGGTATCACATTCCCTTACATTCAACGCCCCCCAATGGTTGAGCACTCACTTTAACTCCAGCATTCTTTTTTCTACCACTACAAATTCTATCAAAAATATTTTGGTAAAAAGGACATTTAAAAATCTACCTGAGAATCACTTCCAGCAATACAACTCTCTCATTTTACAGAGGTCAAGAAAAGTGAAGTGACTTGTCCAAGATCATATAGCTTCATAAACAGCACAGCTGAGACAAGGGTTTCCTAACACCCAATCTAACACTACTATACCATACTCTCCTTGAGGATCACCAGGTTACAAAACTGGGCGTCAGTATGACATTAAGTTTAAATGAGTGTTACCTTAATTTGTCATTCCTAAATAACTCATAATCATGCTGGATTGGGGGTAGAAAGAGTAGAGAAATACCCCCAAATAAGAATCTATAAATACTATTAAGTTTTGACTAGCTCCCAAGTAATTTCTGACCATTCAACATCCATTCTCACTGGAATCTTGAAAAATTTAGACTACTTTGCCCAGGACACAAGTTGTCTCCCACAGCGCTCATGGCAACAAGATAGTATGGGAGAATGAAATTATTCACCATATGTGAATTTAAACAGTAGCTATCATAGTATCTTAAATTACTTTTTTTTTCCTCTGAGGAGGAAAGGGAAATTTGTGATTGTATCAGTGTCCAGAACTCCTGGAGAGGAAAACCCCTTCTATTAATACAGCTCAGTAACTGCTCTGCACTTTATGGTTTTATAAAAGCACTAAGAAGTTCAAAGACTTATTCAGGGTCACACAGTCAACATGTACCAAAAAATAGGTTTAAATCCAGGGGAAAAAACTGGATGCAAATCAGGTACCCATCAAATCTAAACCAGGGATAAAGCTCAATCTATTTGGTCCCAGTGGACAGAACTGGGATCAATATGTAAAAGTGCAAAGAGGTAAATTTAGGCTAAATGTCAGGAAAAAGACCCTAGGAATTAGAGCTGTCCAAAAGTGTAATGGGATGCCTAGAAAGGTGGTAAATTCCTCATTACTTAAGGTCTTCAAGCAGAGGTTAGATGACCACTTGTCAAGTATGTGATTTACAATGGAGATTCCTTTTCAGGTATGGGTTGCAATAGAATAGCAGTTGGGATCTGTTTTAAATCTCAAATTCTGCACGTAATTTTATCTTCCTGACACTCCAACACCAACCCTCAATCCATGAAGTCACACTGCTTCTCAACTTACACAAAATGGAGGCTATTAGTAAAACTGAACAAATTTCAAATAGAAAGAATCAAACTATACCAGCCATACCAAACACAACTCATTTCTTTCAAAAAACAAAAACATAATGCATCTATTTTTCAAAAACGTATTATTATACCCTTTCCACACTCATGTATTCTTCACGTATTTCAATTTTCTTATAAACCTCCACTATGTACAGTATATGCCAGATTAACCTTCCCAAACTTTTTTCATGCTGTTACTTCTCTACTCAAAAACTAGTAAGAATCTCTATTGCCTTTGTACATTACATTTGCATATGCTTTAAAGTGAACAAAATGCCTACATGTCTGTAATCTCATTTGATCTGTACAACTGTGTGTTGGAACACGTAGGATCATCCCCCAAAATGGATATACATGTTGGTGGTTATCTGTAACTAATTCCTGTTTATCTGTTAAAAAATGAACTTTCAGATGACAGACTGTGTGATGGTTCATAATCAAGGCCTTGTTCACTCCTGGGGCTTTGACCCAAAGATGTCAATAAAAAAATCACCCACAGGGGAGCCCTACTTTGCTTTCTAGAAAACTTTGAAAGACTCAAGCGTAGTCAGTCATCAGGAGTGATACTAATACACAGCATACTGTCAAGATACCAAAGCAAACAAAGCAAACTCATTAGAGGTGGCAGGAGTCTAGTTCTGTAATGAGTCAAAGCCATTTTCCACTTGAGCGGCAAACACAGAGATACTTATGTATATGTTTAAGAGTAGGACCTATTTGTAGTTAATGTGCACCCACCTGATCGGCATCAATCTGTTGTTTTGAGCCATTGGATTTGTCAAGTCAAGAGGGCTGGGAAGTATTTGTTACTGCAAGAAGCTACTGTATTCAAATGCTACTACAGAAAAACAAAGTTCTGGTTCTAGTGATGTCCTGTATCAATACAGTAAGACTTCCCTGAAATACAAAATAATTCAAAGGAT